ATATATATATATATATATAAGCCTTTAGCAGTGATTCCTAACCAGGGGTACACAGAATTACTGTGGAAACTTACAAATTTTCATCCTGGGCAAGTGAGACTTTGATTCAGTTGGTTTTGGAGTGGGGCTCCAAAAAAAAGAAAATGCTTCCAAGGGATTCTAATGCACAGTCCTAGTTAGGAACCACTGACTACACACTGACTACAGGCTTTTTGTGCCTTGTGTTTTATTTAATTTTTAATGCCTGATAAAAACAGTAAAAAATGATGATAAATTAGTAATGGATAGGATGTGTAGCTGTGTATACTTGTTTTTGTCTGCCACAGCATTTTGTTTTATTCAGAATAAATTCAATGATAATTAACTGTTTTGTTTTAGTTTGGTTAGATGATCAGAAAAGAAGTAATATTTATTCTGCTTTTTGCTCATTTCTAGAATTTATATATATATAAATTTTTTTTATATTGTCTGCTTCACCCTAATGGCATTAATTTGCAATCTCTGTTTTTACATTCTTAGCTTCTGTGCTTTTTTATATACTATAAGAGCTTTGTCTATAATCAGAAGTTCTAAGTAGAATTGGTCACATGTTGTCTGATGCTCTTATCTTGTGTTTCAAAGAAAAGCAAAATCTACTGCATGCCAAGGGAAACTTTGCAAGAGAGATCTTTATAACATAAAGACATGTGATTCTGGTTTTGCTTCTGTCGTTCGTCAGAAAGCTCAGAAATAATTCTCTAAAGATGATTACAAAAGCTGCAACAAATTACAATAATAATTTCTTCTTTTTTAATAACACATGACAGAATCAGATGAGAGCCATCCTCAAGAGATATCTGCTTGGATATAACAATATATTCATTGTAGGAGAGAAGGTGGGAGTAGGCATTTCCCTTCCCATCACAGGAAAGTCCTTTCTCTTATAACTTGTACACCCTTAAGTTCCAGACCCTTCATAGCTGAACCTAGGATGCTTATTCCGACTACCCTATATTATTGCAATGTCTCTGATCTGCCAGGCAAAATTATCCCCAGATGGTGTTAAAAACACAGATGGGCTTTCACTTTATCCCGTGACCTTCTCTTCTCTGTTTTTCTTTGTATTAAGGCAGAATATGCTACTATGTAATTTCTGCGCCTTCTGAGCTGACACAAAATCTCTCTTCTCTCAGGTAGTTCTTGAAAGATTTATTGTCAGAATACTCCCTGGCCACCAAAATCCTGATCTGCCAGGAGAAGAACTCAAATTTAACTTGGTATAGTGGCCATTTCTCTCCTGTATCAGCTCAGAATTTCCTCTAGTCCCTTTAATCACCACTATCTGCATCAGAAACTGAGAAACTTACTTGGAATTCCTCTTCTAAAAACCATAGATATTCAAATTTATTTTCGAGTTATTTGCTGAAATGGACTGGCAGGATTATTGTAAATAATAATGTGAAGTGTTTTAATATATCACCTAGCAGTGGAGCATTTATTTCCTGGAACTGTGAAAAGAATCTTTAAAATAGTGTCTCCACCACTGAAAAACAAATTTTAACCCGATAGGAAGGTTTGAGTCATAGTGTTACACCTGATGGGAAATCCCGTATCGAGTTTCTAGTCCACTTAAGTTTCCAGTGCATCAGAGTACAATGTGCAGGCCTGTCAAGTATTTGGGGAAGACTCTGAAAGTCAATGTGTTTACATTACAGTTGTCATCAATGCATTCTGTTTTCCTCCAATACCCACGATAAGGATTTTGATAACGTCTCTTCCCTTGTTAGGATCACGAATCTTAATTGAGTTAAAGCAATAATTCCGTGCTTCATCTCCCTCTCCACAGACTTCACGGGCAAGGGAAAGACTCCCCAAGAGTTTCTGAGCAAAATAAATACGGTTATTCTTATCTGTGGACCTAATAGTTGCGTCTCATCTTCTCTTGCAAAATCAGAGTCTCAAACCCTTATCTTAATAGCTTTGATTCTGTAAGAAAAGATTTTTTTCAGACTGGCAGTACCTAACTATTTAGGTATCAGAGTCCTGCCAACTAACAGAACATTCATCAGCTCTTTCAGGGGCCAGAAATGAAAACATAATGGTATTCATTTGGTAGAGTTTGATCGTAAGACCCTGTTTAAATGTCATGTCTACTCTATGCAAAAAATAACATACCCATCTGTACTAGGTTGAGTAGTGTCCCCCCACAATTCATGTCCCTCCTGGAACCTCAGAATATGACTTTATTTGAAAATACGGTCTTTGCAGATGTAATTAGTTAAGATGTGGTCATAGTGGAGCAGGGTGGACCCTTAATGCAGTATGACTAGTGTCTTTATAAAAATAGAGGAGACAGAGAAACACAGGGAAAATGCCATGTGAAATGGAAGCAGAAATTGGAGTGATGTGCCTGTAAGCCAAGGATTGCTGGCAACCACCGGAAGCTAAGAGAAAGACATAAAACAGATTCTCCCCTAAAGCCTTCAGAGAGGACATGGCCCTGCCTACACCTCGATTTTGGATTTCTAGCCCCCTGAACTGTGAGAAAATAAATTTCTGTTGTTTTAATCCACTCAGTTTGTGGTAATTTCTTATGGAAGCCATAGTAAACTAATACACCATCTAAATAAATACTACTTCGGAGTTCAGATTATCAAGTTTCATTGGAACACATGATTGACATCAGTCTAGGAGACACAGGACCTGCATTCAAGACCTAGCTCTGCCACTAACTAACTGTATGCCTTGGTGATAAACAAGCATAGTCTCTTATAATAATTTTTTATCTGATGTAGTCAATATAAATAGTACTAGTTCCAGAGCCAAACTATTTGTCTGCAAGCCACACCCTCCCCTGTGAGGTACAGTCGATCCTCCATATCCGCAGGTTTCACATCCACGAATTCAACCGACCGTGGATCAAAAATATTTGAGGGAAAAAAAAGAAAGTTTCACAAAGCAAAACTTGAATTTGCCGCACGCCGAGCACTGTGCTGAATCCAGACGGATGAATTGATGTGTAGGCATACCCAGCTGTAGCCTCCCACTGTTCCACACATCCTCAGTCTCTCTCCAGCACTTGTTATTTGAGCATTGTTCACTTCATGCCTTGTTATTATTCCCTAAATAAACAATGCGGTACTGTATAACAGCTATTTACATAGCATTTACATTGTATTAGGTATTATAGGTAATCTAGAGATGTCACCTTGAAGACTAAGGTGCACCTAATCCAAGTCATGGTATTTTCAATCGCTTCATATGCATGCAAAAGCTGGACAATGAATAAGGAAGACCGAAGAAGAATTGACACCTTTGAATTGTGGTGTTGGCGAAGAATATTGAATATACTGTGGACTGACAAAAGAATGCACAAATCTGTCTTGGAAGAAGTACAACCAGAATGCCCCTTAGAAGCAAAGATGGCGAGACTACATCTTACATACTTTGGACATGTTGTCAGGAGGGATCAGTCCCTGGAGAAGGACATCATGCTTGGTAAAGTAGAAGGTCAGTGAAAAAGAGGAAGAACCCCAACAAAATGGATTGACATAGTGGCTGCAACAGTGGGCTCAAGCATAACGATTGTGAGCATGGCGCAGGACCAGGCAGTGTCTCGTTCTGTAGTACATAGGGTCCCTACGAGTCAGAACCAACTCAACAGCTCCTAACAACAACAACAGCAACAGAGATTATTTAAAGTATATAGGAGAATGTGCATAGGTTATATGCAAATACTACGCCATTTTATATAAGGGACTTGAGCATCCAAGGATTTTGGTATCCACGAGGAGTCCTGGAACTAGTCCCCGCAATGGGTACCGAAGGACGACTGTATTGTCATTAAGTGCCACTATGCTGATTTTTTTTACATGTTGATGTAAAGGTGGCATTATTTATGAAAAAATACAGCAATACCAATTTCAAAGAGTTGTTAGGAAGATTAAATGAATCATTACATGTAAGGTATTTAGAACATTGCCTGGTATACATTAAGACCTCAAAAATATTACCTATTATTATTTGATCTGTTAATTAGGGGGAAATGTTAGTTGAAGGGGAAAATCATAAAAAAATGAAGATTTTACTTATTCACTCAGGTTTAGTTAATAAAGTTATAAAATGACAAGTTCAGCCATAAAATCTCATGAACTGAAAGTTGCCAACTTCTTCTTTTTTTTTTAATTGTACTTTAGATGAAGGTTTACAGAACAAATAGTTTCTCATTAAGCAGTTAGTACACATATTGTTTTATGACATTGGTTAACAACCCCATGACATGTCAACACTCTCCCTTCTAGACCTTGGGTTCCCTATTACCAGCTTTCCTGTCCCCTCCTGCCTTCTAGTCCTTGTCCCTGGGCTGTTGTGCCCCATTAGTCTCGTTTTGTTTTACGGGCCTGTCTAATGTTTGGCTGAAGGGTGAATCTCGGGAGTGACTTCACTGCTGAGCTAAAAGGGTGTCCGGGGACCATACCCTCGAGGTTTCTCCAGTTTCTATCAGGCCAGTAAGTCTGGTCTTTTTTTGTGATTTAGAATTTTGTTCTACATTTTTCTCCAGCTCTGTCTGGGACCCTCGGTTGTGATCCGTGTCAGAGCAGTCAGTGGTGGTAGCCGGGCACTATCTAGTTGTACTGGACTCAGTCTGGTGGAGGCTGTGGCAGTTGTGGTCCCTTACTCCCAAAGGGGTGAGACCAATGGAGTATCTTAGATGGCCGTTCACAGGCTTTTAAGACTTCAGATGCTACTCACCAAGGTAGAAAAATTGCCAACTTCTTGACAGCAATTTCTTCCATCAAGTTAATGAAGCTTGAAATTTTAGAAGATTTTCCCTCATTCAGAATCCTCTGGAGCCACTATATAGTCCTGCCAGCTGTTGTGCATATTGACACATTTTCAAGAAAACCATCCCTTCATCTCTTTTTTTTTTTTTTTTGCCCTTTCATCTCTTGATGTTAGGTTAACCATCGAATTATATTTGGACAAGATTAAGGATTTTTGATTAGACAACCATTTTCTTTCTTTAGAATCTCTTACTATTAAGAGCACTTTTTTTCCTGAAAGAACCCACTGTTAGTGTCTCTAGCTAAGTTTCACTTGTCTGAGTGCCAAGATTCCTCTCCTATTCACTTGGTTTTACTGATAGTTAGATGTAGTCTCAACAACAGGTACCAGGTCCTTCACAGTACTTGTCACCACCATTGGTGTCTTGGTTAAAATTTTCTTTAGGAATTTAGCTTTCCAGTATCTGCAGAACATTTCAATACCTTCATTACTCTTCTCACAATAACCTCTCTCCCTACTGCTACATAATCAAGATTATCAGTCACCTATTATATCTGGTGCAGTGGTTAAGCACTTGGCTGCTTACCAAAGGTTGGCGATTTGAACCCACCAGCCACTCTTTGGGAGAAAGATGTAGCAGTCTGCTTCCATAAAGATTTACAGCCTTGGAAACTACAGGGCAGTTTTACTCTGTCCTGTAGGGTCATTGTGAATCAGAATTGACTCAACAGCAGCGGGTTTGGTTTTTTGGTTTATTATGTGTGGTAGTGTGGTCATTACCATACTTTGGAGAAGTCCAGGCTTATTTTCCCAGATACCTTCATTTTCAAAGATATTTAATTGTATTAAATGACAACCTTTAACTCTCTTCCTAATTTACAGTTCTTGCTCTAGCATCTTCTTCATTTACAAGCTTCTCTTCTTATGTCCCTCTTAGTATTACACTGGAAACTCAGAGAGACTGTGCTAACCAGGTATGACACCCTGAAATGGCCCTACCAGTTAGACCGGCAGCTGAGGAAGCAGCCAGTCTGTGTCTTCCTGTGAGGTTCGGGAGAACAAAACCTTCTGTCGCTATCTAATGCAACTCAGCCTTGGAGAACCGAACACACAGATAAGCAATAATGACCTTTTGAAGAAATGGTATTTTTTTTCAGACTGTTTGAAAACACCCAGCTTTTTTTCCCACCCTGATTATTTTCTTTTTTCTGTCAGAAAATGTTATGACAGCAGAGCCAGTCATACTGATACTGATTTTGCTAGGAAAAAAATGCTGAATACGCTATTTAATCTCTGGGGAAAGAAAACCTGTAAACTTATTGAAAATAATTTATTTCATTGACTTGGTTTGTTTCATTTTAGATACTGCAGATATATAAGGCTGTTTTGTACCTTGAGACTTTTTTAATGAGTCTTGAGAAATCTAGATTCTGTATTCCCACACATATTCTCAGGCACCATATGGAAACACTGTTCCTAGATCTGTGGTATATTTCTTACTCTAGTGTATGCTAGTATATGTGCCAAAAACAGTCAGCAGCTATTAAAGATATCCTTTACATTTCTGGAAAACAGAGTTCATTTTCATATGTACTAAAGTAAATCTAAAGAGCCCTGGTGGCACAGTGGTTAAGCACTCAGCTGTTAACTGGTAGGTTGGGGGTTGTAACTCATCCAGTGACTATGTGGGAGAAAGACTTGGCAGTCTGCTTGCATAAAGATTACAGCTCAGTAACAAAGTTTATTAAGAAAGTATTCTGCATCCCACTTTGGTGAGTGGCGTCTGGGGTCTTAAAAGCTAGTGAGCGGCCATCTAAGATGCATCAATTGGTCCCAACCCACCTGGAGCAAAGGAGAATGAAGAACAACAAAGACACAAGGAAAATATTAGCCCAAGAGGCCGAAAGGGCCACATAAACTAGAGACTTCATCAGCCTGAGACCAGAAGAACTAGATGGTGCCTGGCTACCACCAATGACCAACCTGACAGGGAACACAGCAGAGAGTCCCTGATGGAGCAGGAGAAAAGTGGGGTGCAGAACTCAAATTCTAATAAAAAGACTAGACTTAGTGGTCTGACTGAGACTGGAGGAACCCCGGAACACATGGTCCCCAGACTCTTGTCAGCCTAGAACTAAAACCATTCCTGAAGCCAACTCTTCAGACAAAGATTAGACTGGACTGTAAGACATAAAATGATACTCATAAAGAGTGTGCTTCTTAGTTCAAGTAGATACATGAGACTAAATGGGTAGCTCCTGTCCGGAGGTGAGATAAGAAGGCAGAAAGGGACAGGAGCTAGTTGAATGGACACAGGAAATCCAGGGTGGAAAGGAGGAGTGTGCTGTCACATTATAGAGAGAGCATCTAGGATCACATAACAATGTATGTATAAATTTTTGTATGAGAAACTAACTTGAGCTGTAAACTTTCACTTAAAGCACAATTTAAAACAAAAACAAGAAACATTCAGAAAAAGATTACAGCCAAGAAAACTCTGTGGGGCGGTTCTATTCTGTCATATGCATGTCTTCTTAACAAATTTAAACTTTGCAAATAAGATCCTTGTTTAAAATAACACTGACGATGGATGATGAATCCAGATTGGGTTTTTCTCCCCCAAAAGAGATACTTTGTTATTAATTGGAATAATTACTTTTGAGCTATGCAATATGTTACCATATTGAATTAAAATAAATTTATGAAGGCTTTAAGCTCTTTCAAATGTTTGGCCTTTTATATAGCTATAGAAGATAATATAAAATTAAATTACAAATGATAAATTGGTAAGTTGTATTTAAATCAAAATTTTCCAAATTCCAATGAAACAGAACATTGAGAGGCATCAAACTCTTAAAAGTAAATTATAATATGAAGGTTGCTGAAATGCCAAATGTTTTGTTAACTCTATACTTACTACAAGTTTAAAAAATTGAGAAAAAAAAGTAAATTATGTTGTACTAGCCATTACTTGGACATTCTAAGAGGTGAAGATAAAAGAATGACTTAAAACAGTACTTCCCAAACTTCAAAATGCTAAAGAGTCATGTGAGGATTTTGATAAAATGCAGATTCATATCCATAAGTCTTATTGGGCTTGCTCTTCTGCATGTCTTGTTGTTGCTTTTGTTAGGTTCCCCCAAGTCAGTGCTGACTCATTGCGACCCTATAGGACAAAGTAGAACTGCCCCATAGGGTTTCCAAAGAGCAGCTGGTGGATTTGAACTGCTGACTTTTTGGTTAGCCGAGCTCTTAACCACCTTGCCCCCAGGGATCCTCTGGATGTCTGACGAGCTCTAAAGTGATGGCGATACTGCTAGCCGGGGGAACACACCATGAGCATCAAGAATTTAAAGTGTCAGTGAAGAAAAAACCTACTTGACAAAAATGTTTTACCACTTTTAAGACATACAAAACCATGTTGTAAATGTTAGGTTATCTATTTGGAACTTTTTAAATGTGTAGATGAATGTACTGATTAAAAAAAAAAAAAAAAAACTGGTGGAATCCAGCTTTGGAATCCCATCTTCAGTTCCTCCATTGAGATGCTTCATCTCTTAGTCACTGTGTCTTGGTTTTCTCAACTTTAAAATTGGAAGAGTATATCCCACCTGTCTTTTTTCACCTTGATGTTGATGACTATTTTTAAATTGCCTTTTCTATGTTTTCCTCTTCAGGGAGTGCCTTGGTGAAGCACATGAGCCTTGTGACTGCCCAACATGGAAAAACTGGCTACAAAAAATAACTGAAATGAAACCAGAAGAACGTAAGAGGAGTTTTAGATAGCTATGCTACATATTTTCTAATGTTATTCAAAAGATAATGTGGTCACATGCATTATGATCTTCATTTAAGAAGTTTTCAAGTTTGTTAATGCTAGAGCTCCCCTGTGTAATATCACCCCTCTGAACAATATCCTTTTGTAGATCACAGGGTTTTTGCAAAGGGAAATCATAGACAGGCTCTGTGTTTCTAGAGGACTTATTTCCCTACCTAAGATAAACAGAGTAAATCAGGGTCACAATTAAGCCCTTCTTCAGCTCTTCCTATAAGATCATATAGCTTATTGGTAGCAGACCTGGAATTCTGTGACTCAAAATCCTGCTCTTAACCACTTAATTCACCTGGGGCTAGATTCCTGCCACTTTCCAGGACGCACTATTCCTACTCCCTCAACTAGTGTGCCTAGATAGTACATAAAACTCATTTTAATATTCTTCTAAATGCAATATAAGGAGGAAAAAGTATTTAAAAATATGCTGAGATTAGTTCAAAGAGTTAAATTCCTTATAAAGATTCAAATAATGTTTTTAAGCTCTGAAATGGCCTCTGTTGTGTCTAATCAGAACAAGAAGCAGGAATGATTTTATTTAGTATAAAATGAAGGTTAATTTATAAAATTTTCAAATGAATTTTTTCATATAATGATCAGTTGTTGAATGGCATTCAAATTGTCTTTTTAAGAATTTATTCTTTAAAAGAACTACGTTTCCACTTGCATACATATTGATTCTATTAATAGCTCTTAGACTCTGTTATACTCTAATACTTGATTAAATGAAGTTAATACTTCTTACAAAGAGACATAAGCATAACTAGGTTCTTAAGGAAAGAATATCAGTCAGTATGTAATCAACATGAACTGAAGTGAAGGGAAGCGTTTGAAAGTCAGTAGGGGTAAAGAAGACTCACCAGATAGAAGAGAAAGAAGATATTGCACGTATTAAGAACAGTATGTTCAAGGGAACAGATGTATGAAATAAGAATGTTTTAGAGAATTGAAAGTGAAGGCATTTTCCAGAACAAACTTTTATTGTAGTAATAGCTATTCTGAAAACAGTTTACTTCATGCCGTCCCCTAGAACTACAGTGCAGTTCACTAGAATGCAATTAGGAACTAGCATTCTTTCCAAGGGTAGGAGAAAAAAACTGTTATGTTGCAGGCCACACAGCTGCTTTGTTTTAATGGCTTTGTGCTTTATTTATTACAACAATGGACAACAAAGGTCATGAGAACATGTTAGAGCCTCTGAGCTAAAAATGTTGATGCCGAAGGAAGAAGAAAGGCCACTACTTTTAAACAAAAATTAAATGTTTTAAATGTCAGGTGTGTTTAATGATTAGGTTTTATGACAATAAAACTCACTGCTTTTGAGTCAATTCCAACTCAGAACAACCCTGTAGGACAGAGTAGAACTGCTCCATAGGGTTTCCAAGGCTGTAAATGTTTACGGAAGCAGACTGCCACGTCTTCCTCCCACTGAGTGGCTGGTGGGTTTGAACCACCGACCTTTCAGTTAGCAGCCAAGCACTTTAACCACTGGGTCCTTCATAAAGCTTACCCAAACCAAAAACCAAACCCATTGCCATCAAGTCGACCCTACAGGATACAGTAGAACTGCCCCACGGGGTTTCCAAGGAGCAGCTGGTGGATTTGAACTGCCGACCTTTTGGTTAGCAGCTAAACTCTTAACCACTGCACCACCAGGGCTCCATAAAGCCTACAGCATCTGGTATTCCCAGGCAGTCTCCCATCCAAGTACTGACCAGGCCCGACCCTGCTTAGCTTCTGAGATCAGACGAGATCGGGCGGGTTCCAGGCAGGCCGTAGTTTATGGCAATACTCTCTATAAATGGTATTACTTCCACAGACTGAGTGACAAAACAGTCATTTATCTTTACGCTTACTAGCTTGACCTTACTAGTCTCTACTAGTTGTATAGGACTGCCATAACAAAGTACCACAAATTGGGTTGCTTATAAGGACAGAAATTTATTGTCTCATAGTTCCAAAGGCTAGTAGTTTGAATTCATGGTATCTGCAGGACCATGTTCTCTGAAAGCTCTAGGGGAAGATCATTTCTTGTCTTGGAGCCTCTGGTAACCCCAGGCATTCCTTGGCTTGCAGCTGCAGTATAACACCTTTGTCTGTTGGCCCTCCTTCCTCTGTCTGTGTCTTCTCTTTTATAAGAACACCACTCCAGTTGGTTTAGGACCCTCCCTAGCCCAGATGACTTCATGTTAATTTAACTGATAGCATCTTCAAAGGCCCTATTTCCAAACAGGGTTACATTCATTGGCACCAGGGTTTAGGACTTCAACTTATCTTTTGGGGAGACACAATTCAATCTACAATGTAGCTGTAAGTATAGTAAGTTCCTTCTGAAGCTCCCTTTCTCCACTGAATTATCTGAGCATTCTCCCAGCCACCACCCTAATCAAACCATCTTCTACAGAGTTAGTTTAGAACTGGAGTTTGATCAGTCCACTGCTGCTATTGTTTTTCTGGTATGTGAAATTAAAAGCTAGTGCTTTACAGTACAGCAGAAACTGCTGATCCATTGCTGATACAGACTTAACTAGGTAGGCACTCCTGGTTTCTTGTAACGAGACAGCCCCAGTCCTCTACTGCTAGCTCCATCAAAGGACTGCTCTTCGTGTCTCAGCCCTCCCAGTTCATACAGAGCCACTTCCCCGGGGCCAGTCAACCCAGACGTTTGTCCCCCTTCCCTCTCCAGGGATTTATATCTCGGGGTTGATGACTTTTCCTTTTAAACATCAAAACTCAAAGGGTCTGATTTCTCCCCTGCTTTTGGACACTAGAGTTAATGCCTTACTCCCTCTTTTGAGAGTGTCTGCATGCAGTCAGGGCCTTAACTGGATGAGCCACTCTCAGTGATTCCAAAGTGATTTTCTGACATTTCTTTCAGTAAAGAAAAGGTAGGGCTCCTCAGTAGAGTTAGAGCTAGAAAGAAAACAAAAAAAACCTAACTTGATTATAGGCATTCTTACAGGAAAAAATAATTATTTAATTGTACATCTGGAACTCTTTCCAGCTCATATGTTCTCTTCTCCGTTAATATGTTTGTAGAATATAAAATGTAAAATGTAGAATCTTTAAGAAACATGGCCTATAGCCCTTAGACACCCTTCTAACTCAGAACTGAAGCCATTCTCAGAGATCACCTTTCAGCAAAATAATAGACAGGCCTGTAAAATAAGCAGTAACACCTGTGAGGAAAGTGCCGTTAGAACAATCATCTATATGAGACCAAAAGGGCAACATCTGCCCAAAAGGAAAGGTGAGAAGGCAGAAAGGAGCAGGAAAACCAGACGAATGGAAATGGGAAACTCAGGGTGGTAATGGGGAGAGTGCTGACATATTGCAGGAATTGCAACTAATGTCACGGAACAGTTTGTATATAAACTATTGAGTGGGAAACTAATTTGCTCTGTAAACCTTTACCTAAAGCGCAATTAAAAAAAAAAAAAAAGTATGTTCATGAAAAATTTGAAAAAAAAGAAGACATTTCTTAAGATTGCAGATCTGAAATTATAGTAGAATAAGTTGAGTTTAAGATAACAAAGAGTATAAGGTTGGTTGAGGATAGAGATGGAGGATGGGAGAAGTTTGAGGGTAGACAAGAGCCAAATCATGAAGAGCTTTGTATTCTTTGCTAAAGGAATTTGATTTTAACTTGTAGGCAGTGGGGAGCAATTAAAAAATTTTAAGCAGATTTTTATTTTAAAAGATCACTGTGCAGGCAGTATATTGGGTGTGGGGAGGAAAAAGCTGGAGAGATAGGTTGACTTTCTGTATTTTAATAGTCTAGACAAGAGGTGTGATGGACCCGAGCTAAAGAAGTCAGAGCTGGGAAAGAGGAGGGTGTCCAAGATAACATGCTGACATCATTTACCAAGAGAAGGAGTAGAGAGAGGAGCATATTTGGGAGAAAAGATGAGAAGTTTAGTTTTAGACAAGTCTTGTTTGATTCATTTTAAGTTTATTCAAAATAATCATGGATGAAAAAGATACTGATACTTGAATGCAATTTTCAATCTTTTTACTATGATGAATAGTTTCATCATTTGCTGCAACTAACCTATTTAAGAATTATTTTCTAAAGTAATCATTTCTATAATTTTCTTTAATGCAATATTTACACAGAAAGTAACATACTGCTTTTTTTATATTTTGGTAGGTTTTTTTTTTTTTTTTTTTCCTCAGTTTATTTAGACACACAGCTAGGGAGAAATCTCTTTTAAACCAAGTTTCATAAGTAGGACTTTTTAGAATATAGCTCCTTACCCTGTAATTATGCTATTCAAAATGAAGCAGTTTAAAAATGTTGCCATAGATCTTAATAGGAAAACAAGTATATGACTGAAACTGAGAGGCAACGTACAAAGAAAAGTTTGGGTTTTTTTCCCTCTAAAGTTGTACACTTAACCATTTATTTTTGTGTTTGTGCTTAATATCTCAAAGTTGTGGGAGTTAGTGAAGCTTATGAGGATGCTGCCAATTGTCTCTGGTTGTTAACTAATTCCAAGCCTTGTGCTAACTGTAAGTCTCCGATACAGAAGAATGAGGGCTGCAATCACATGCAGTGTGCTAAGGTAAGAAGTCAGAGGATTTTGCATGCTTTGCAGTTGAAATCTTAATTTAGTTTGATTGTTCATCCAAAGGAGAAATGTTATAAGCATAAAATCTTGTTGGGTTTCACATGAGTTCTAGTAGATTGCCTTCTACATTCTTTGTTGAGTAACGTGTTGATTTCTATTACTAAATTTTATATTCACAGAGAGTGTTAAAAGTAAGGGTGGGGATTGGATGGTATTTGGACAGAAGATCCAGGAATGCCTTATTCTTCCTCTGCCTGTCAGCCCCCAAAGTGAGGGTCCTAAAAGAATTGTGTGTGTATCCATATAATAATAGCAAGTGATAAAGTGCTACCTTGTATTAGCTGTTGTTATGGATTGAATTATGTCCCCAAAAAATATGTGTTGTACATCCTAACCTCTGTGCCTGTGGTTATAATCCCATTTGGAAATGAGTTGTCTTTGTTATGTTAATGAGACAGGATTAGTGTAGGATGTGTCTTACCTCAATCTCTTTTGAAATGTAAAAGATTAAACAAACAAGCAAGGGAAGCAGAGACGGGGTAGATTGATCCAAACCACATAGAGGTCTCTAAGGAACCAGGAATAGAAGCTAAAGAGACAAAGACCTTCCCCCAGAGCAGGCAGAGAAAGCCTTCCCTTAGAGCCAGCGTCCTGAATTCAGACTTCTAGCCTCCTAAACTATGAGAAAATAAATTTCTATTTGTTAAATCCATCCACTTGAGGTATTTCTGTTATAGCAGCGCTATAATTAAACCAGAATTTGGTACCAGAGGAGTCGGGTGCTGCTCTAACAGATATCTAAAATGTGGAAGTGGTATGGAATGGAGTAATGGGCAGAGGCTAGAAGAGTTTTAAGGTGCCTAATAGTAAAAGCTTAGATTGCCTTAGAAGAGACTGTTGGTAGAATTATGGATGTCAAAGGAAATTCTGGTGAAGGCTCAGAAGGAAGTGAGGAGAGCTTTAGAGAAAGTCTCTGTCTTAGAGAATGCATATGGTACTAGCAACAGAATGTTGCTAGAAATGTGGACTTTAAACGTGCTTCTGGTGAGACTTTAAAAAAAATGATGAACATGTGATTGGACAATGGAAGAAGGGCAATGCTTTTTACGTAGTGGCAAAGAACTTGTCTGAATTATGTTCAAATGTTTGGTGGAAGGTAGAACTTGTAAGTGATGAACGTGGATATTTAGCTGGAGAGATTTCTAAGCAAGATCTTAAATGGGCCACATAGTTTCTCCTTGCCAATTATAGTAAAATGCAAGAAGAAAGAGATAGACTTTAAAAATGAACTGTGCAAAATGAAAACAAAGATTTGGAAAATTCCGTTGCACAAACTAAGGACACATGTCCTACAGTTTTCACCAAGGTTGTGGCTACACAATCTTTTGTTAAACAAATTAAGCCTGTGACTGATGGATCCAACCATTTACCACAACAGAAAACCCATCAGCTTAGACTGAAGGGGACCGAGAAAGAAAGAAAGGAAAGAATGCTGTCTGCCTCTTGGAATTCTACAAGCAAGAAACAGGCCAGTGGCGCTACATCTGTTGTCCTCCAAAAAAGGAAAAGGACCATCCCTGTAACAGCTCAGACATCAGCAGAACTATTGGAAGGAGCACAGGATGCCGGGCCTTCTCGATTTCAAAGAGTGAGACTGCAGCCTCCTAGGTTTTGAAGAGTCAGATGTTCACCAACTTGGTTCCAGAATGTGGGGCTGCCATTAAGGTGTGCCAGGAGATGGGGCTGCCACCCAAAGCTGAGGGGGCAGGTCTTCCATGCCTAAGGGGCAGAAGAATGAGATCTGTGGGGGCCAATGGGGGGGGGGTGGTCAACACTCAGATGGACTAGGAGAATGGGGCCGCCCAAAGCTGAGGGAGCAGAATTACCGTCCCAGTGGGCCTGGAAGGCTGAGCTGAAGCCCAGGTTTGAGGGGCCTCCACCCAGAATCCAGAGAGCATGGCTAACAACCAGAGTCTGGAGGGCAGGGCCATTGTCTAGATGGTCTCAGAGAAGAGAGGATTGTTTTCAAGCTTTGAGAGCTAATGTAAATTGTTCTGCCAGGTCTTGGACTTGCTGGGTGCCTGTTATCCCTTCTTTCCCTCCAGTTTCTCCTGTTTGTAATGGAAATGTCTGCCTTGTGCCTTTTCCACCACTGTACTTTGGAAGCAGATAACTTTGTAGTCTAGATTTCACAGGTTCACAGATAAAAAGGGATTTTGCCCCAGGATGGACTATGCCTAAAGTCTCACCCATGTTTGATTTAGATGACTCAGAAGATGAGATTTTGGACTTGGAGTTGATTTAAGACTTTGGAGATGATTTGATGGAGTAAATGTGTTTGCATGTGACAAGAACATGAATTTCCGGAAGGTCAAAGGGTGGAGTGTTATGGATTGAATTGTGTTGTAAATACGTGTTATAAATCCTAACCTCTGTGCCCTTGGTTGTAATCCCATTTGGAAATGGGTTTTCTTTGTTATGTTAACGAGACACTGTTAGCACAGGTGTGTCTTAAATCAATTTCTTTTAAGACATACAAGAGATTAAACAAGCAAGTGAGGGAGGCAGAGATGGAGGAAGATTGATGCCAAGCCACGTGGAGACCTCCAAGGAACAGGAAACAGAAGCTGAAGAGATAAAGACTTTTCCTCAGAGCTGACAGAGAAAGAAAGCCTTCCTGTAGAGCCAGCACCCTGAATTTGGACTTCTAGTCTCCTAAACTGTGAGAAAATAAATTTCTGTTTGTTAAAGCTATCTACTTGTGGTATTTCTGTTATAGCAGCATTGGATAACTAATACAGCTGTGTTCATGCCCAGTACTCACCTATGTATCTCTTGCAAAGCTGGTTTGGGAGCACACAGCTTAGACTCAAGGCCCAAGCCAGGTGCCAGGCAGTCCCCCTAATTTCAAATCTAAATCTAGTCTAACTATCCTTTTGCAGAACACAATATATGAATCCTGAAAAAAAGTGAGAAAAATGTAGAACAGAACTTCAGATTCTTAAAGAATCCAGACTTACTGGACCTATTGGAGTTCCCGAGACCAGGCCCTGAGTTTGCTCTTCAAACTTTGAATTGAAACTATCCCCTGAAGTCACCTTTAAACTAAGTAGCAGTTTAGCACAAAGAGTAAAGATTATCATCCTTGAGTATTGTCTTTTAAAAAAAAATTATATAAGACCAAAGAGTCAACAGCTGTTTCAAACTGTAGACCAGGAAGTTACGGGGTAGGTGGATTAAGTAAATGGAGGTGAAACAACTAGAACAAAATAACAAGAATGTTGACACAATGTGAAGAATATAATCAATGTCATTGATCATTATGTCTAGAAACTCTGGAATAGGAGCAGGTATTGCTGTGTATATTTTAACTAAAAGTTGAATAAATTTTTTTTAAAAACTGCATTGAAGGGTATTTGTGTCAAATCAGGCACAAAGTTTGCTTATAAAAAACCTGACTCATTTGCTTATACCATACAGGGAAATAACTTATATCCTACAGAACCTTGAAATAAGTGCACAGTTTAATGTGTGAGTGCATGTTGTGAAGGACTAGATGAGTATGAAGGCTGAAGTTCATCTCTGTGCCCATGACATATCAAGCGGACAGAAAATAAGTAAAAATACAGAAGACCCAAATACCGTAATTACTAAGGTAGATCAGATTGCTACATACTCAACCTGTGTATCCTGAAAATGTGGACTACACTGTCTTTTCAGGTACCCGAGAAATTGTCACAAAAAATTGACCACTGATCATCAAAGAAATCCTCAATAACATTCTAGAAGATAGAAAATAATACAAATGACATTCTCTGATCATAATGGAATAAAATAGAACTTAATAACAAAGTTAGAAGACAAAAAGACCTTTTTATTTGGAAATTTTGAATCTCTCAAACAACTCGAGTCAAAAAGGAAATAAAAATGGAAAATATAGAATTTCTAGAAAACAGGGATAATGAAAATACTACTTTACCAGAACCTGAAGGATATGTGGCTGAAGCAGTGCTAAGGAATATGCATAGCCTTATACACTTACACCAGTACAAAATAAGGAATGAAAACGAATTAAGTTGTGACTTAAAAATTAGAAAAACAAAATACACTTGAGGAAAACTAGGAGAAAAGATAGTTTTTAAAGCAGAAATTAATGAATTAAAAACTGAAAAATAATACAACTAATAAATAAACCCAAAAAGTGGTTTTCTAAAGAAAAAAAAAAGACAGATGAATCACTATGCTAATATAATTTTTAAAAAAAGAGGGAGGGAGGGGACATCGGGAGTTCAAATGCATGATGTAAGAAATAAGGGGAATAATCAGAGAAAGTCAACTAAAATAATAATAGATAACTCTTGAACACATCATTTGAACTTGAATGAAATGGATTACTTTTCTAAGAAAATATAATTTATCAAAACTAACCCAAGAAGAGAGAGAATATCTAAACAAACTCACTTCCACAGAAGAAAGAGTTTTTCAAAGGTCTCCCCACTTTAAAGCAATAGGCCATGACAGTTTCACAGTGGAATGTTATCAAACCTTAAAGGAGCCTTTAAAACTTTTAAAAGAGCAAATGATTCCAGTTTATTTTAATCAACTCCTGAGAGTTTAAAAAGAAGAAAAAAAGCAACTTCCAGATTTTTTTTTTTTATGGAATGAGTATAACCTTGATACCAGAACTTACAGGATTATAAAAATAAAACTGGAGCTCAATCTTACTTATGACTAACAATGCAGAAGTTGTAAATAAGATACTAGAGATAGGAAGAAAAAAAAAAAACAGGTGTTAGCAAATAGACTCCAGCAGAAAGCACAGTAAACAAGTAATTAACCAAGTGGGGTTTATTCCAAGAATATAAGAATAGTTTGATATTAGGAAAGCTATTGCTTTACCTCATATTATTTAGTAGATCCAAAGAGAAAAGTCATATATTTTTCATAGATCTGAGAAGGCATTTGACAGAAAATCAATGACCATTCTTTATAAAACACTCAAAGAAATAGAAATAGATTCTTTGTTAGCATGATAAAAATAAATCTACCTCAGTCCAAAAGCCAGCCTCATACTTAGTGGGGAAATTAGAGGCACTCCCACTGAAATCAAGATCAAAATAAGGATGCTCTTCATCACCAGTACCATTGCCATTAGACTGTAGATACCAACCAACATAATTAGACAAGTCAAACCCATTGCCATCAAGTCTATTCCAACTCATAGTGACCCTTCAGAACAGAGTAGAACTGTCCCATGGGGCTGTAATCTTTACTGAAGCAAAGTGCCACATATTTCTCCCATGGAACACTGGTGGATTTGAGCCACCCACTTTTTGGTTAGCAGACAAGCACTTAACCACTGTACCACCAGCGCTCCTTATAAAGAAAGTTGGAGATGTAAAAACTAGAAATGAGGTGATAAAATTGTCAACTTTTATAGACAGCATGATTGTATGCCTAGAAAACTCACATGGATCAACTGAAAAACTACAATAAACAAAAATTCAGTAAAACAGCAGGGTACAAAACTAATGTACAGAAATTAATAGCCTTCATGAGTACCAACATCTATATAGAAGATATACTAAAGAGAAGACTTCATTTATCTAGAAATAATCTTAACGAGAAATGTACAAGGTTCACATGAAGAAAATTTTAAAAAGCCTCTGTAGGACACGAAAGAAGACAAGTGAATGGAAAGGCAACCAAGTTTTTGGAGAGAAAGATACCAGCAAAAATGCCAACAGGTTTTGTTCCGGATCTAGAAAAGCTAAGTCAGAAATTCACATGGAAAAATAAAGCAAGAATAGCTAGGAAAACTGAAAAAGAACAATGGGGGGGCGGGGGGGGGGGTGCGGGGAACTAACCTTGCCAAATAGTAAGCCATATTATAAAGGCTCAATAATTAAAACAGTATGGTGGTGGCACATGAATAGACAGATCATGAAATGGGATAGAAAGAAAGCCCAGAAAATAGACACAACTACATGGGAATTTAGTATATAGTAAAGGTGGCATCTCCAACCAGTGGAGAAAATATGGAGTATTCAGTAAATGATATTGGGACAACTGGGCAGCCATCTGGAAGTGAAGTTTAATTTATACTTTATACTCAGATGAATTCCAAAGGACCCAAAGATTTAAACTTTTTAAAATAGACTATAAAAGTACATGAAGAAAACATGGAATATTCCTTTATAAACTTGGAATAGGAAGATCCTTCTAACTGACTCAAAATCCATAAGCATAAAGTAAAAAGATGTATTTTTATACCAGAGTACTCATATTTTTGGCGTTATCTGCTAATTATGGTATTTAATAAGTGAAATTTTCTGAAAAATTAGGAAACAGGTTTTATATCAGCTGTTTTACCTAGTGACCTTTTAAACTTATTCTCAGTTTCAAAACCAGTTTGTTGAAGTTACCAGAAGTCTTGTGAAACACACTTTTGGAGCTTTATAGACCAATATAAAATTACCATACATTTGAAAAATGAAACTTCCATCAATATCTCTTCTTATTATTTGGAAAGAATATTCTATCAACATTTTTAATATTTCTTTGCAATTACTTTATAATATTATGGTTTACATTTTAATTTATCCTTATAAGCAATATTTTAAACTACCGCTACATCTTTCCATAATGAGAATAAGGTCCCCAGAGGAAGCATGAGAAAGAGGATATGTTTTTGAAAAGATTCATTCCTGGTCCTAGAGGCAGGATTGTTTAATCTCTACAAATTGGTTGACTAGAAAGCAGAAAATAATTTGTGTATTAACATGGAGAGTTATTTGCATATATGTTTTCTTTTGAAGTGCAAGTATGACTTTTGCTGGATTTGCCTAGAAGAATGGAAAAAACACAGTTCTTCCACTGGAGGTTATTACAGATGTACTCGCTATGAAGTGATTCAGCATGTGGAGGAGCAATCCAAGGAAATGACTGTGGAGGTAAAGAGAACTGTTTAAGCCAAGACCTCTGTCTAAGCCACTTAAAGCCGTTGAAAGTATTTTGCATTTCCACTTTTCATATCTTCATGTTAATGAGGCATTAAATTGAATACACTTTATAGTAGCTTTTACTTTAAATAAAATAGCTCTATAAACTTAAGAGCTAAGTTTTAAAAATTTGTCCTTGTTTTATTTTGGTGAAGATAAGAAAAGTTTTATTTATTCCAGCCTTCTTCTATAATGACTTAAAAACAATTGTAATAGCTAGTAGTCTTTGTAAGAGTCATTTATGGACTTTTGTTTCCTAGGCTGAGAAAAAACACAAGCGATTTCAGGAACTTGACAGATTTATGCACTATTACACAAGATTTAAAAACCATGAGCATAGCTATCAGGTATGTCCCAAACCATTTCAAATGAGCAGAATTATACTGTTGTGAATAAACAAAGAGAAAGGTTTAAATTATTTATTTCTATTCCTTCAGTTAGAACAACGCCTTCTTAAAACAGCTAAAGAAAAGATGGAGCAGTTGAGTAGAGCTCTTAACGAAAGTAAGTTTTAAGTGGTTTGTCTGGTAATTAATGTAAAATATTCTTCCATGCATAAGTCACTTCACTGGTAAGAGTTTAAGCCCATTAAAGGATACTCATATCCCCATTAGCCTATCCTGGTACTGTGTGAGTTCTCTGAAACCCTGAGTATAGCTTAGCATAGCAGGCCCCCGTGTTTAGATTTTCCAGCTGTCTTACCTAGCATAAGGAGCCCTGTTTGCACAGTGGTTAAATTCTCTGCTGCTAATCGAAAGGTCATTGGTTCAAACCCACCAGCCGCTCCATGGGAGAAAGATGTGGCAATCTGCTTCTGTAAGATTACAGCATTGGAAACCCTATGGGGTAGTTCTACTCTCTCCTGTCGGGTTTGCTATGAGTTGGAATTGACGTTTTTGTTTTTGCTGCTGTTGTTTTTTACCTAATGTACTTCATTTCGTGAGACCTACACTGTTATCAGATGGACACACATCGTGATTTTGCTTACTCTGTACCATTGCTGATGGGCTCTCAAGGACATTCTTGACCTAGCCAAAGGAGCAAGATAACACATTTTACCCAATTCTTGAGAAGATTTAGCAGAGTACCTAGTGGAGTGGAAGTCAAGTACAGTTTTGGAAGAATAACCTCACTTGTAAATAATGGACGTTTGAAGGTCAAAAAAGCAAAGCTATGAGGGAGGACTAACTTATGGGTTCTTAGTTGAAAGATCTGAAAGAACATTCCTAAAGATGGACTGAGCATTAGTCGCATTATTAGGATGTAGTATCCTACAGTGACCACACAGACTACAGATTCTGATATGTTTGGTTTAAAAAGTCACAATTTTTAAATGATCATAGCTTATATATAAAGATACGTTTTAAGCCTAAAAATGTCATCAGTTATACTTGTGTTTGCTCCTGTTCCTAAAAATAAGTGCTAACACTCTCTTCATGAGGATAATTCCCTAATTAAGATAGTAACCAAAAGTTAAAGTGAGAAAAAGTATTAATAGCAGCTTTGTCTCCTTGTTAATTATTAGTAATTAGACTTCATTATTGGCATAACTATATCCCACCAGTATCAAACTCTTGAAGCATTGTACACAGTAAAAATGGAAAGGAAAAAACACCTCCTTTGTTCTATATCAGCAGGGATATTTGTCTTTTTCCTCAACGATGTGTCCTTAGTGCTTAGAACAGTGCATGACACATAGTAATCACTCAGTAAATGTTTACAGATGTGAATTACTGCTTCTGTTCCAACATTCTGGGAATTCCGGACAGCATAGTAAGACGTGAAGAAGAATTTAAAGATACAAAAATTGGAAAGGAGTAAACAAAACTTGACACACTGCTCACACATGTCATAATGGGGGAGAGGGTTGTTTTCTTTTTCGTTTTGTTACATCCTGGTTCAAATACCCACCCTAGGAACTGATTATACTCTGAAATTTAGCTGTGGTCTGTATATCAGTGTGTGTACATACACATGTAGTGTCTTTCTGCAGGCATACAGAATAATCTCATTTTCAGTAGTACTTTTGCATTGAAATTCTAGTACTTTCTATTTATTTGCAGTTAAGGAAAAAGCTAGAATGTTTTAATATTTTAGGAACAAACAGTCTCAGATACTAAAGCAGTTTCCTTCTCCCTTCTCCTCACTTCTCCTTTCTCTCTTTCTCTCTCCTTGAAGTTTTTTATTAACTAGCATTAGTTATCTAGTTGTTTCCCAAAATGTTATGTCGTTTTCCTTAAAATATTTTGAGGCTTAATTATCATTAGACTTTTTTCTTAGCAAGTAACTTAGCAAGGCATTTGTTGTAATTCTTAAACAGCAGAGTTCCCCTGGGGATAACCTGAAAAACTTAATAAAACATGGAACCTATGGGTTGGCCTAAAGCTAGGTTTGTTAACCAGCAGGGTGAAAGGAAATCCAGGATGAGTGTGTGCAGTCCTTCATGGCTCCATCAGTACTTCTGGACCACTGCAGCGTGTGCTTCATTTAGAAAAGCATACATGTCATACATTAGTATTTTATGTAGGTTTTTTATAGTTTTAATAGCTACAATCATACAGTTACTTCAAACAGTTTCTTTTTTTTTTTCTTTATTAAGAACACATAGGTGTTCAATTAATTTAATACCATGTTTGCAAAAAATTTCACTGTGCCTGAATTACTTTCTAGCTGAAGGAAGCTGTCCAGATACAACTTTCATTGAAGATGCAGTTCACGTTCTCTTAAAAACTCGACGCATTCTCAAGTGTTCTTACCCATATGGATTTTTCTTAGAACCTAAAAGCACAAAGAAGGAAATATTTGAACTCATGCAGGTAAGATATCTTTTTTTAAATTAAATTTAAATGGTCGTCTTTATTATGAACAACAGATTTTCTCCTTTTTGAATCACTTAACTAAGTTTTATCTTATTTGGGTATGATTAGTAAACAGTTTGTCTTCATTTTTAGAATGGTTTTTAAATAATGGAGAAGTTAAACTAGCAATAAACTGAAAATTTCTTTATGTTTTAATTTATCATTTTGCAGGTCTGAATAAGTTCTGAGTTAGACAAATATTTCCTGCGGCATTTATTTTTTCGTTTCAAACTGCTTGAGGTAGAAATCTGGCCTATTTCTCATTATGTAATTAGGAATTTCATCTCACAGATTAAACAAACCACATTAAATGCATGATGGGAAAGTGGCAATTTAACAGGTTATTTTAAAAGTACAACTCTAGAATTTATAGTATTTAAAAAACACCAAAGCCAACTGACACCACTATAGCTAACCAACTTTATTGTGCTTTCCTTTTTTGAAGCAACCAAACTTTCTTCTCTGGCTACAGTTCTCATGCCGTCCCTTTGAACTGCCCTGTACTAATTTATGTCCTGTATTTCTTCCAAGGCTCAATGTTCATTTTCTCCATAAAGCCTTCCAGACCAAACCCCAAATCACAGTGGTCTTGCCTTGCTTCAGATTCCTTCAGCATTTACATGTAGTCTGCACCACACCATCATGCATTTGCTCATATAATGCCTTGGAATGTATTAGGTTTTTTATATAGATGAATTATAAATTCCTTGTAAATAGCTGCTGTACTCAACATTTTCTTATAATTCGTACCCACTGTGTTGCTATAAAGCCTATCAAATAAGTACTGTTTTCCTGAATTTAAGATGACTTCACAGATGACTCTTCCTTCTCTTTAACAACCTGGAAAAAAATGTACAAAATAGGAAACTTATGTTAAATTAGCAAGTCATCTAAAAATTTGGGTTAATTTCTAATGTCAAAAGAATTGTGTAACTGAGAAACCACATAGACTTTAGGTTTGCTATTAACTAACCCATTCAACCTGTAATCTTTCTTTTTTTTTTCCATCATCTTACCATAGACAGACCTAGAAATGGTCACTGAAGACCTTGCTCAAAAAGTCAATCGGCCTTACCTTCGCACACCCCGCCACAAGATAATCAAGGCGGCATGCCTTGTACAGCAGAAGAGGCAGGAGTTCCTGGCCTCCGTGGCTCGGGGCGTGGCTCCTGCAGACTCACCAGAAGCTCCAAGGCGCAGGTAAAGAGGATGTGCACTGTGGAAGTCATCCTAGCTCCCAGCCACAAATGCTAGCAGTTCTGTTTTTTATCCAACTAGAGTTCATAGTCCTGGAAGTTACTTATACCTAGGATGTGGATAACAGATAAACATTTTTGACTTCTTTTTGTTGATTTCCCCAGTACTATTTCTATTTTTTCTTGTTATTTTTTTATCATTGTGTAGTTCCTCGGACTAAATTAGACTAGCTTAATTTCACACTTCAGTTCAACTCATAACTCAAATACTATTCTAATGCATCATTTTAAATATGTAAAGTATGTAGTGGTATGATAGTTATAAACATCTTGTGATGAGAATTTGAAAACCTTGCCAACTTGTTATGGTCATATTTATATTTTTGTAGTGAGAGGTTATGAAGAAATTTGAAATCTGATATTAGTAAAGTTACTGAAGTGATATGAATTAATACATTGAAGAGCAGTTGAATTTTGGTTGTTTAATATTAGATACTTATACTGCAATTATAAATTGAGTCATATTTTTTATTCATAATAACTAAAAGCGTTAGATATTTATTTGACCTACTTTTACATAAACATAAAAATGTAAGCAATTATAAAATACTTCGTTATAGCATGATGATTTTTATTTTTTCTACGTTTTACACAAACATAAAGCAATTTAGAATTTGAAAGAAGTAACAAAATTATCATCTTAGTAGTTGATCTACTTTGTTTATGCAAGTTCCAAGCAGAGGAATTAAAAGTAATGCTCAGAGGGCAAGAGTCTGATTGATTGTACTTTGTAGTACTGATAATAAATCAAGTGGTATGTCTAATTTCTTTGTAGCTTTGCTGGTGGAACATGGGATTGGGAATATTTAGGATTTGCATCACCTGAGGTAATTGTTTTGTGGGTTTTTTTTTTATTATTATTGTGTTTTTCTTTACTGCAATCCTGTTTGCATTTGCACCCTCATCTGTTCTAGATACCACTGAGACTGTCAGTGATGCTTTCTCTTTCTTTTGTAACAAAAACACCTCAGCAGAGCCTGCGTTTAGCTATTTACGGTGGTGCATTATCATTACGTTATTAAATGCATCTCCCTTATTTGTTTTTAATTACCGAACAATCATAAGTAAGGCAAATTTACAGCACATAGTTTTGGAAAATATATTCTAATTTGTTAATAGAGATTATTTTATTTAATAGAAATATGTTTCTGGTTGTAATGTTTCAGTCTGAATCTATTAAGAACCTAAATAAACAATAAGCTTATTTTTTTAAAAGTTACTGCAACAAACATGAGACAACTGATTTGTAATCAGTTGTTAAGGTGGAAACTTGACATTAATAATGCTTATGCAAAAAGAAATGCCTTTCTTAGTTGCTTTCTCCTTCCCTTAAAGACTTTCACGCTATTCTTATTTGGTATTTTTGTTGTTGATGCGCCATTGTAAAATACAAAAGATCTGAGATAGTAATGCTGTAATAGCAGTTGCTACAAATAAAAATAAGATAGAGTGAAAATCTTAATCACACTGTTCTTTTTTGAGATTTAAATTGCCACTGTCACCAATGAATCTGATTTTAATTGGTTTTAGCAGTTCTCTCTACTTTTGTCTCCTTTGATTTGTATACAACAATAAGTCGTTTAATGCTTATAACTTTTTAGCTTAATTCTTAGAAGGGGGCAAGGCAAATGATGAAACCCTTGTTATCTGCAACTGAAAGACAGTGAAAATGATGTTTATCCAGAAATGACTGTGGCTTATTTAAATCAGATCTTCTCTCTTTTCAGCTGCTGAGGATACTTGCAATCACTTTATGGCCTTTTGTATTGGTAGATATATCCAAGAAAATGTTGACATGAGAAAACAATTCATGGTTGGAGCTTTGATATGGAAATTTTTTCTAAGTAAAATACAAGAAATTTTAATATATTAATGATTTTTTTTTGTAAAATGATGAACCCTTTTTCTTTATCAAATCCTGTACTTATTATTTTTGTGTTACAATACAGTTAGAGCTTTGGGAATATTTTGGTAGATTGCCACCTAAAAGGAAGAATAAACAAGCTTTAATTATCAGGAAAAAAGTACTACAAATTTCAGTATTTCAAGGTGGAAACATAATTTAGCAAAATAAAACCTTTACTCATGTACTCACAATTGTGTATTTATCATGTTGGTGGCTTCTGGCTCTGACAGTGATTTTAGGAATGCTGAAATACTGGGCCTTGAATATTTCAGGGCCTGCTAATATGACTGTCACAGATTCATTTTGTAAAGAATAGGAAGACTTGCTACCTCATTATGTAAATATTTATGTATAAAATTACTGACCATTTTTTCTTTAGAGATTGAGAATTGTGAAAGTGGAAGTAATCTTTCCTTCTTCAGTTTATTTTTTGTGAATTGATAAATTTCACAAAATTATTTAATTCTCTTTTACTTTTCTCTATAAAAAGTCTTTAGCACGCTGAAACACCAAGCTTTTATGTAACCCTTATTGACAATCTAAGGAATTGCCTCACAGTGTGAAATTTTCTAATTCTGGAAGTGTTTGACTAATAAATAGCTGCCAAAATTATATTTTAAAAAATTATCTCTTAGCCTTAATACAGACTGAAAAAAATTAATTATGCCAACTTAGACTTTAGGTTGAATTTATATTTTTTCAGTAAAGTTAATTCCATCTTATTTTTTAAATTAAATTGAATGTCTGTGGCAAACATAAATATTTGCTTTGCATCATTTTATAGGCAGTGGGGCCCATAGTCTTTAAATCTGGGGGATACCTGGATTTGAGTTGTAGCTCTGTGATTTATTAGATCTTAGTGTATGTTCTTCCTTAATTTCTCATCTTTAAAATGTTGAAGGTGATACCGACCCCACAAGAGTTCTGGAAGTTCTGGAGGGGTAAAGTGTCTCATTAAGTCACAGACAATATTGGTGCTCAGTAAGTGATAACTATTATTACACTTGGAGCCCTGGTGGTGCAGTGATTAAGAACTTGACTGCTAACCAAAAGGTCGGCAGTTCAAATCCACCAGCCGCTCCTTGGAAACCCTGTGAGGAAGTTTTACTCTGTCCTGTAGGGTCGCTGTGAGTCTGAATCAACTCAGTGGCAATGGATTTGGTTTTGTTTTTTATTATTACACTTGGAGATCTTGGTTCTCCAGGAAAAGAGGAAGGGATGCCCCAGCTCAGCAGGAAATTTTAAAGATGCTACATAATTCCTTGGGGCCCTTGTAGTATTGTTCCAATCTGGTAGGATGTATGGTTAGTTTCTACTTGGTAGGATGCTTTCCACCTTGTATTAGAGTCTGCCTGCTTAGAGTCTGCCTGCTTATAAATTTAACCAGAGTAGTATGATGTAAAAGTTTTATTTGTGATGTAAAGTTGTCTTCACTTATTTCTAGTACTTTCACGGCATAAGCATATTGAGTAGTCTTATTTAAATTTTGTTATAGGGTGACCAAGATAATCATAAACCTGCATATTTTAGTGTTTATCAAAGAAAGATTCTACAACAATTCTCAAAATTACCCTTTTTCTGCTGGTGCCATACACAGGCCTCTCTTCTGTTCTTTTTTCTTCTGTCACTAAAATCTGGAAACGTAAATTTGTCCCAGGTTGTAGCCTCTGATAATAGCTGTTGTTGTTATTAGGTGCCATCAAGTTGGTTCCAACTCATAGCAACTCTATGTACAACAGAACGAAACACTGCCCTGTCCTGTACCATCCTCATAATCGTACTATGTTTAAACACATTGTTGCAGCCACTGTGTCAGTCCATCTTGGTGAGGGTCTTCCTCTTATTCGCCTACCAAGCATAATGTCCTTCTCCAGAGACTAGTGCCTCCTAATTACATGTCCAAAGTAAATGAGACTAAGTCTCACCATCCTTACTTCTAAGGAGCATTCTGACTGTACCTCCTTCAAGACAGATTTGTTTGTTCTTCTGGCAGTCCATGGTATATTCAGTATTCTTCATGAACACCAGAAGTTAAATCATCAATTCTTCTTCAGCCTTTGTTACTCGTTTTCCAGCTTTCACATGCGTATGAAGCGATTGAAAATACCATGGCATGGGTCAGGTGCACCTTAGTCCTCAAAGTGACATCTTTACTTTTGAACTCTTTAAAGCGGTCTTTTGCATCAGATTTGCCCAATACAGTACATCCTTTGAGTTTTGACTGCTGCTTTCATGGGTGTTGGTTGTGGATCAAGTAAAATGAAATCCTTGACAACTTCAGTCTTTTCTCGGTTTATCTTGATTGTTGCTTATTGATCCAATTGTGAGGATTTTTGTTTTCTTCATGTTGAGGTGTAATCCATACAGAAGGCTGTAGTCTTTGATCTTCACCAGTAAGTGCTTCAAGTCTTCTTCATTTTCAGCAAGCAAGGTTGGCTCATCTGCATATTACATGTCGTTAATGAGTCTTCCTCCAATCCTGATGCCAAGTTCTTCTTCATATAGTCCAGCTTCTTGGATTATTTGCTCAGCATACAGTTTGAATACGTATGGTGAAAGGATACAACCCTGACGCACACCTTCCCTGATTTTAAAACATGCAGTATCCCCTTGTTCTGTTCAAGTGATTCCCTTTTTGTCTATGTACAGGTTCCTCATGAGCACAATTAAGTGTTCTGGAATTCCCATTCTTTGCAATGTTATGCATAATTTGTTATGATCCACACAGTTGAATGCCTTTGCATAGTCAATAAAACACCAGTAAACACCTTTCTCGTATTTTCTGCTTTCAGCCATGATATTTGACATAAGCAATGATATCCTTAGTTCCACGTCCTCTTCTAAATCCAGTTTGAATATACTGCTGCAACAGTTTTTGAACAATCTGCAGCAAAATTTTACTTGCGTGTGATATTAATGATATTGTTTGATAATTTCTGCATTCTGTTGACTAACCTTTCTTTGGAATGGGCACAACTATGGATCTCTTCCAGTCAGTTGGCCAGGTAGCTATCTTCCAAATTTCTTGGCATAGACAAGTGAGCACTTCCAACGTTACATCCATTTGTCAAAACATCTAGTTGGTATCCTGTCAATTCCTGGAGATTTGTTTTTCGCCAGTGCCTCCAGAACACCTTGGACTTCCTTCAGTATCATCAGTTCTTGATCATATGCTACCTCCTGAAATGGTCGAACAGCAATCAATTCGTTTTGGTACAATGACTCTGTGCATTCCTTCCTTCTTCGTTTGATGCTTCCTGCATTGTTCAGTATTTTGCCCATAGAATCCTTCAGTATTGCAAGTCAAAGTTTGAGTTTTTTCTTCAGTTTTTTCAGCCTGAGAAATACTGAGCATGTTCTTCCCTGTTGGTTTTCTAACTCCAGGTGTTTGCACATTTCATTATAATACTTTACTTTGTCTTTTCGAGCCGCCCTTTGAAATCTTCTGTTCAGCTCTTTTACTCCATAATTTCTTCCATTCACTTCAGCTATTCTGCATTCACGAACAAGTGTCAGTCTCTTCTGACATCAATTTTGGTCTTTTCTTTCTTTCCTGTCTTTTTAATGACCTTTTGCTTTCTTCATTTATAATGTCCTTGATGTCATCCCACAACTCATCTGGTCGTCAGTCATTAGTGTTCAGTCATCAAATCTGTTCTTGAGATGGTCTCTAAGTTCAGGTGGAATATACTCAAGGTTGTACTTTGGCTTTTGTGGATTTGTTTTAATTTTTTTCAGCTGCAGCTTGAGCTTGCATGTGAGCAATTGATGCTCTTTTCCAGCTGGCCCCTGGCTGTTCTGACTGATGGTATTGAGCTTCTCCATTGCCTCTTTCCACAGATGTGGTCAGTTTGATTCCTGTGTACTTCATCTTGTGAGGTCCACGTGTATAGTCGCTGTTTATGTTGTTGAAAAAAGGTATTTGCAATGAATAGGTCATTGGTCTTGCAAAATTCTATCATACGATCTCTGGTATCATTTCTTTCACCGAGGTCATATTTTCCGACTACTAATTACTCTTCTTTGTTTCCAGCTTTCACATTCCAATCACCAGTAATTATCAATGCGTCTTGATTGCATGTTTGATCAATTTCAGACTGCAGAAGTTGGTAAAAATCTTCAATTTCCTCATCTTTGACATTAGCGGTTGGTGTGTAAATTTGAATAATAGTTGTGTTAACTGGTCTTCCTTGTAGGTGTATAGATATTGTGCTATCACTGACAGTGTTGTACGTCAGCATAGATCTTGAAATGTTCTTTTAGACAATGAATGCGACGGCATTCCTCTTCAATTTGTTATTCCTGGCATAGTAGATCTTATGATTGTCTGATTCAAAATGGCCAATACCAGTCCATCTCAGCTCATTAATGCCTTGGATATTGATCTTTATGGGCTCCATTCATTTTTAATGACTTCCAGTTTTCCTAGATTCATACTTCATACATTCCACGTTCTGATTATTAATGAATGTTTGCAGCTGTTTCTTCTCATTTTAAGTCGTGCCACATTAGCAAATGAAGGTCCCAAAAGCTTGATTTCATCCACATCATTAAGGTCAGCTCTACTTCGTAGGGACATCTCTTCTCCAGTTGTATTTTGAGTGCCTTCCAACCTGAGGGCCTCATCTTCCAGCACTGTATCAGACAGCGTTCCACTGCTATTTATAAGATTTTCACTGGCCAGTTATTTTAGAAGTAGATCGCCAGGTCCGTCTTCCTAGTCTGTCTTAGTGTAGAAGCTCTGCTAAAACCTGTCTACCATGGGTGACTGCTGGTATTTGAAATACCAGTGACGTAGTTTCCAGCATCCAGCACCACAGTATGACAAACTGACAGACAAGTGGTGGCTGATAATAGCAAACGCACTTTAAACTGTTGTCTCAAATGTAAAATAGACTCAAGCATATCTGCCAAAATCTGTATTCTTCCCACATGCTAAATAGAAAACACTTCCTCTGCCTGTGTGGTAGATAACTCCACATATTGGCTAATACGGGAAGGAAGCCAAATAACATCTTATTTTAAAGGTAACCTAGTCCTTAATAATCTGTATTCCTTTTTTTGTTTGTTTTTTGGTTTTTTGTTCTGCATATATCATGGTCACTTTTTCAAAACCATACCTCCAGGGAGAGTCTAACTTATATTAATAAAATGAGTAGGTGTTAGTTATAATATTAGGTAACAGGACCTTAGAAATCATCAGTCATATGAAATAAGGCCCAGTTGTGATCTGGCATTGCAAGTATACCCAATTTATCTAGGCTTTTGTAATGTCTATTCGATAATTTTCTTTTTCCATTCTGCCTTTCTATCTTCTGCTTCCTTGGCATGACAAAACCGGAAGTTCCCCCCCCCCCAAAGCCACATGATTTTATAATATGTGTATAAAATCACACATTTTTTTCCTGGAAAAAAGTGTGGTGTTTGTTTTATTTGCATTTAAAAAATTGCATGCTGTCCTGTATTTTATAACCTGTGGTTTATGCAGGAATATGCTGAATTTCAGTATCGGAGGAGGCACAGACAGCAGCGCCGACGCGGAGACGTGCACAGTCTGCTCAGTGGTCCTCCAGACGCCGATGAGCCAAGTGAAAGCACTTTAGGTATGCTCCTGGGCTGAGGGTGTGTTCCTCTCTTAGTGATGCTTTCTTGAACTTAGTCTTCAAGTTGGTTATCCTACATGTTTGTGTAAGGCTTTGTAATTTAGACAACCAATAAATATGTAAATACTTCTATTATCACAGGACACAGGAAAACAGGGAGGTTAAGAACATGGGCTATGGAATCAGACAGGCCTGGGCTCATAACTCCATCTCTGCTGTGTATTAGCTATGTAACTTTAATCAAGTCACTTAACCTCTCTAAGCTCTGATTTCCTCATTATAAAGAAGCAATAATAGTGCTACCTTGTAGGCTCACTGTGAGGATTAAATTAGATAATGCATGAAAAACACTTAATATAGAATGTCGCACCTAGTGAACGCTCAGTCAACTGTGGCTATTAGTGCTGTTACTGTATTCATGAAATATTTTTTCCTAGCCTCAGTTCTCCTATAAACATTCTTTTAAAGAGGAAACTTTTAATACTAGAGATAAATTATTTTAATTATTCAACATTTAAGTGTTAAATGGTTAAATGGAAATCTTCACGCTATAGTGTCAGCAGATCACTGCTAATAAATCAAGGTCAGTGAGACTAAAAATTTTTCTTCAGGCTCCCGTAATTCCCAAATTCTCTAGTGTTAAGAAATCTGAAAAGTAAAATGCCTCTGTTGTTGCTTAAGGGGAAAAAAAGGAAAAGGAATGAATAATAGCACTTGCATTTATAAATAAATTGTGTAAAGTGCTTGCAAAAACGTAAAAAAAAAAATCAATGATTGGAAATAATAGTATTAGATATATACTGTTGCTTATGGTGAGACAAATATGGATGAGAAGTACCTGAAAGATACAGTGAAACTGTAAACATAGATTTTCGCCAGCAATGAAAGAGAAATCACCAATTTAAATAAAAAGACATATGGAAAAAAAGGAATAAACCTTACTTGTCACTGAATTGTGTTTGGTACCAATTGCTTTTAAACAGATACCCCAGAAGGTGGCAGCGGCCACAGACCTGGCGCCTCTGTGGTAAGTTCTGCGTCTGTGAGCGTGCCACACAGCTCTTCCCTGCGTGACTACGCCCCCGCCAGTCGCTCTGAAAACCAGGACTCTCTTCAGGTAGCCCTTCTGACCAGCCTTATTGCCCGATGTTTTTGCTCTTTCTTTAGCCTGGTTTCCTATTTTCACTTTCATGACTGTCCTTTTTCTTCCTTCCATTCTAAAATCTTTGTTTGAAAGATGTGCCAGAGAAAAAGATTCCTATGAGTTTTCCTTTCCTGTAGCATGGGCAAGGAAAAAATGATAAGACTGAGTAAATAAGATAATTCTTCTGCGTAATTAGAAGTAATATTAATTATACCTGTGAGAGCTGGGACTCAACGGGACTGTCTTATTTTTCCGGGTCTCGAAAGTTTTCCACCTTTGACAGGGTGCAGTCTTACCCCTTTTCTGTCGCTCATTTTCATGGAAAATATTTGAGTTTTCCTTCTCTGACAGGTTTCCACTTTATGTAGGTTCCAGCTTTAGTATGTTTTACTGTATCTGTTTGGTAAAAGAACAGTGGTAGATACTCATTTTCCATTTAGTCAAATTTTAAAATGACTTTACTTTCTGTTGTCTCAGGCTCTGAGTTCTTTGGATGAAGATGATCCCAATATACTTCTCGCAATACAGTTATCCCTGCAAGAGTCTGGGTTTGCCATTGATGAAGAAACTAGAGACTTTCTCAGTAATGAAGCATCCTTAGGAGCGATAGGTACTTCTCTACCTTCCAGGCTGGACTCAGTCCCCAGGAATACAGATAACCCTCGGACTGCATTGAGCAGCTCTGAGCTATTGGAACTTGGTGACAGCCTCATGAGACTAGGAGCAGAAAGTGATCCGTTTTCAACTGACATCCTTAGTTCACACCCTCTCAGTGAGGCAAGAAGTGAATTCTATCCCTCATCCAGTGACCCTGACTCAGCTGGCCAGGACCCCAACATCAATGATAATCTTCTTGGCAATATCATGGCTTGGTTTCACGACATGAACCCTCAGAGTATTGCCCTGATTCCTCCAGCAACTACAGAAATCAGTGCCGATTCCCAGCTCCCCTGTGTCAAGGATGGGTCAGAAGACGTGAGGGATGTGGAACTGGTGCCGCCAGAGGAAGATCCAGTTTTTGAAGATGCTGTTGTAAGTGAAGGTAGAGGAACCCAGAGAGAAGAAAATCTTCTGGAGGAAAATATTCTGGCTGGAGAAGCAGTGTCTCAAGCTGGCAACAGTGGTAATGAGGCAGCCAACAAGGGGGATGGTTCAGATGTTTCAAGCCAAACACCTCAAACCTCAAGTGACTGGCTTGAACAAGTACATTTAGTGTGAATTGGACACCTTTGGGCTCTAGGTGAATCGCAAGTACGGACAGTATACTAGGTGGAATGTGCTTTATAGAGACTTTGATCCACTTAATTTCAACTCAGTTAGAAACCACAGACATTAGGATCAAATATGAAGGAATTCCCTGGAATGGTAGCTTCATTTTAGATTTTTGACCTTAGAGCGTATTTCTTTTGTATTTAATTGGATAGCTTTTCCCCTTTTTGCTGACTAAAAGAAGAGCAGAAGAGAAAGAGAAACACAAATGGAATAAATAGGTTATATTCCACATTCTAAGAAAATGCCGCCCTCTGCTTAGCCTAAGGTTGGCAATAATTAAATTGAACATTTAAATTAAAGGCTTACTCCCTAATCCTTGGGTGATTTATCCTTTTAAAAAAAAGAATTCTCTTCATTTTAGAAGTTCTTGTTGACAGATAATAACATTCAGCTCCTCAATCTCTGTGCTCTTCTGTAACTTTCTGTCTGAGAGGTGTGAATTGAGGTAACCAGTGCTGCTCTTTAGTGCTGCATCTAACAGTGTAATTAGTTTTAATTTTCACATGAATCCACGGTTTCTTTTCGTGTCTGTTGACAGCTCTATCGTGCCAAACTCCGACTGGTGCGCTGACTAACAAGGTGTTCAGGTGTGCAGTGTTCTAGAGTGCTCCAGAGCAGTTTTCATCATCCTTGGGAGTAAAAGGTGCCACTTGGTAGCAATGATATTTTAGAATTTAATGGGCTTTTGTTGCCATGGAGACTGCATTTAAATAAATGTAGCCTGTAGCTTAAGTTAACTACACCTAATGCTGCTGTTAAAAACAGTTTATTTTAATATTAAAATACAGTTGATTAGCAACAGCGGTGCTGTATTTAAAAAGACACTTTATTGGAAGTGCAATCATAGTTCCTTGTTTTCACAATTTTACAGTGCATTCTAATTACTATTGGGTGCAATTACTTTTAATGGTAAGTGTTTTATAAAATAGAAAAAAGTGGAGTTTTCATGAGTTATAGTAAATCCCACAATTATTTTAAAAAAATTCAATAAAACATCTTGCGCAACATGTTACCGTGCCTTTGCCTAACCTAAATGGATAGTTGCCAGTTAAATAAGTAAGTAATTCAAATTTCACTGTCTCTTCTGAAGTAACTATGCTATGAATTGCAAAGACCTCCATAAAACCACCCATGGCCTTGCCTTTACAGTAAATATAACAACTAAATGTTCAATTGGTTTGTTTGCCTAAATAGCAAATGCTGAGATGTGTTTGTTCTATTGCACAATACTCATTTGCTGTGTGAGTACTGTTTAGTGTTAAAAAAAAAAAACAACTTCCTGGTTATCAGTGTCTTACTGTGAAGAAAATACTGGTCTTAGTTGTAATTAAGATACAGTGGTACAGTGTGTAATTGAAACTAGAGTAAACTGTTGTTTTACTTACATGTTATCAAAACTAGCATAACATAAGCAAAATAGGTACACAACACTCCATATAATGTTTTGCCAGGTAATTACCAGAAATCTACATGTACCAGAATTTTAGTACTGAGTTTGTATAGGCAAGTCCTAGTCTGGGTAAAAGGTTATATTAGTGTTGATGATATCCACGTGAGTTGTGATGATGGTTTTTTTTTTTTTTTTTTTTTTATTACTTTTTTTTCAAACCTTGCTTTCAAAATATTCTTGTACTTTGAATTCGTATGACTAGGACATTATGTTAGGGTATTTAATATTCCCCGGTTTCCCCTAAGATAAACTGTGTGGGAATCGCTCCTGCGCCATGGATATCACAAGTCCACGTTAGTTTTTATTTCCCCAAATATCGGAAGCATTCTTATCAATACCTATTGAAGTTAGTTGGGGGAAATATTAACTTTATCTACAGTGTATTACTGTATATTAAACTGAAATAGTCCATTAAAGGATTTTTTTACAAATTTATTTTGGATTAAAAATGTCAACACCAATTAAGTTTTTAGACCAAGTTGTAACTTTTCAATAGGAGGAGTGTTTATATCACATTGGGACATCTTGCAAAGCTGCAATAAGGTGAGAAAGCGTGCCCTGGGTGAAGATCGTGTACGTGGTGGGCTCTGGGTCCCTAGCGCCTTGTGCAGTATCCTTTGTTTCTGTGCTGTTCTCCTGAGCATGAACGTGATTATTATCCAGTTTGTATTTCCTTGGTACATATTTTAAAAACAACACAGTCATTGACTTTACAATTGAGAAATAAAGTTTGGCAAAGCCTATTTTGTAAACAAGTTAATTTTATAATGTAAAATATATATATATATTACTCTAACCTTGTTATTTGCACTTTCATAGTCTATACTTGATACATTCCCACTTTATATACAGTAGGATTCTACAAACGTGTAGATGTTTGGCCAAATGAATGCTGTTAATAATATGTAAAATTCTTTGATTAAACATTTATTACTTAAACTACTTCCATTTTGTCTCATTACATTATGGACTTTGTTTAAACTAAATCAAGAAGCTCATTTTCTTCAAATTAAATTCCCTCCAATATGATGGGATTAATTTGGTTTTTACATGTAATTGATTAGTGCCTAATATTTTTACATTAGACTACCTTCTGAGCATTTTATACCCCAATGATAAACCCAAAATCACTACCAAATAATGTGTTAAAACATTGTGACTAAGAGCTTATTTTATTTTCACTATAGCTTTCAGGAGAAAATGTTGATTTTTGCTTGAAGTCTCTAAGAAACACATGGGAAAAAATGATTTTAAGATGTGTTTTGTGAAATTACTTAGAACAGGAGACATTTTTTATGCTGTATGAATAGAAACACCTGCTTTTCCACCCATTTTACTATTCCATCTCTTCCGAGTTACCAAAATAACCCTTGGCATCTGAACTTGAGTGCACATACATAAATTCTAGGCCACCGGCCAGTGCTTTATGGGGTGTACCAGTGATAATCATTTAAAGTCATGTTTTATTTATGCCTTTCACTGCGTGGAGCTGGAGCTCAACTACCAATGTCCATATGCTGGATTATTCTTCAAATGTTGTTTTTTGCAGCCACTGATCCTGTTTTGTTTTTTTTCCAAATATTGTCAGCTTACCTGGTATGAATTAAAATCTCAGACTTACTGAAGTTTGGTCCTAATTTAAAAACAGTTAGTGTGTCTCGGAAGAGTAAAAAAAGGTTTAAATATTAAATGTAAATGTAAATTTGAGGGCGTTCTTTGTTGGCTGAAATAAAATCTCCATAGGAAAAACGTTTTCTGGTGCTTGGCTTTCAGGCTGAGTAGTAGCTTTTTCTCAGTATTGATCAGTATATGGGCTTACTGGATCTTCTGCTTAGCAACAATATATTACTGCCTTGTCAGTGGCTCTAACCTCACCAGCATAGATTTCTTTCTATAAAGATATAAGTAGATCTTTCTAGACTATATTATGTGACAGTCCTTATTTTAGGAAAGAAAGATGGACCAGAAAAATCTCCTTTACCTCCCTGTTCCACTTAGGACTGACAGGCAACTGCCAGACTGAGTGGTGGCCAAAGTTTTGAAAGAATTATTCGTCTTCAGTCTTTGAAACTGTAATGTTAAAAATATCTTGATCAAGCTACATATCATCTCTTAGCTAGCTATCTCATTAAATATTTACTGCATAAGGGCCTAGCCTGTACAAGGTATCAATCTGCAGACAGGTTGATATATATAGATACATATATGAACAGAAGAAAATAGGGCTCTCTGGTTTGGGGAGAGACACTCTCCTTAGACCTCCTGTGCTCCTACACATCTTGCTGGGTGTTCTAAGACTGCAAGGCGCTGACCACAGTTTTACCTGGGTCATTTCTCAGGCTTTATGCAGCCGGTAACCTTGAGGACAGAGAGCAGGCTTCTTAATTAACTGCTTGCTATAAAAGCAGTGGATTCCTCATGCTTGGTGTTCCTCAGCTGCAATACAAACCCACTGTGTGTTTGGCATCCATCTGGGCCCACTGCGTTCCTCCTGTGGAGCTAGGGTTAAGGGGGACTGACAAATAGGCTGATGTTCTTGCTGCTTCTGTGCCTCTGACTTGAAGCTTTGTGTCTCTGTCAGCATCCATGAAACTGTGACAGGCTGACTTACTGGTTTTTAAGTAGGGTGAATACCAGACCTGACAGTTTTGGCAAAGAGGATGGGATGATCACCGAGACAGAGACAGGATTTTCTAGAAGAGGGACCGGGTTCAGGAGTATGAGAAGACTACCTGGGATCTGGTAGTAAATGCTCCCATCCAGGGTGAGATGGGTAAGAGGGTGTAAGGGTTCTTCACTGCCCAACCTATTAATGAACAGGAGTTGAATTAACATTTAGAGGCTTTGTGTCATGAGGTAGGATTGAAACAAGCTGCCCAAATAGTGGCTTGGTTGTCAGTTACTCTTTCAGGCAGGCAGAGCTAAGAGGTGTTTTCATGTCAAGGTGATAGCAATTCCTGTGGCCCTAGCTGAAAGGCAGTGTGTCTGTGGCTGCTGAGTCAAGGAGTCCCCAAATCTAAAATAAATAGTATCAGCAATGAGGACCTTGCAATTGGACTAAGAGCTTTGGGTGGACAGAAAACATTGAAGTTCATTTGATTGAGCTGCAAGCAGTTGCAGCACCTTTCAAATGTGAAAGTGAATGAATGTAAAGCCCTGCCTAAAAGTGCAGAGCAGGCCACACTTATGGCCCTGGCCCCTGTGGCAGCCCACTTAGGACTAGGTGCTGGGTGTAGGGGTGGCAGAAGGCCCCAGAGACTAAAAGCGGCGGTGTGTATGGGGACAGAAAGAAAGAAACTCTGGGCCTAGTCTCTGGATGCTGAGAGGGACCACCATGCCACGGGAGAGGTAATGGTGCCAGTGCTGAGGCAAAGAAGAGGAAAGGCCTATGATTAAGGCTCCTCCACGCAGGCTAGCCTCCCCCAACACCCTGGGCTCCCTGGGCCCAGGTTGGGAGAAAGCATAATCTTCTGGCACCCATTTTCCATTCGTTGCTGTAGCTCCTGACTCAGATGCATTTTAGATTCCTTGGTCTGTGTTCCTGTAGGGGAAAAGGGACTTGGCTGTGGTTCATAGTGGGGAGGGAAGTGAAAGTGGCCTTGCGAGTGGGACTCTGGGTGGGGTCAGTGTACTGTGTCTTCCAAATCTGAATGTGTCATGGAATTGATGCATTATGTGCCTGCATTTACCTGTCTCAGTTGTCAGTGGGGATGCTCCCAGTCAGGCACCTCCACATATGCAGAGGTGATAGTGTCTTTCCTTCCTCTAACAGCAGTACTAGGCCAGCCTACTCGACCAGCCCTTTGGGTGGCAGACTGGCCAGGTGACGTCAAATTCAATTCTGGATTCTCTAAAGTAGAAATTTTCTGTGAAGGGCTGGGAAGTTGTTGAATGGGAAGTTCACTGAGTGGGAACAGAATAAACCATTAAGCTGTATTTTCAACACCAAATCACACTAAAAGTCCTTTAGAGCAGGGGTCAGCAAGCCTTTTCTTTAAAGGACCAGATAATAAATCTTTTCAGTTTTGTGGGCCATATGGGCTCTATCACAACTTCTGCTAGGGACACATAATAGCATCCATAGACAGTACATAAATGGGCATAGATGTTTTCCAATAAAACTTTATTTACAAAAACGGATACTTCCAGAAAGATGGCCTATTGCTGAATTCTATTTGCTAATATTTTCTCAAGGATTTTTTGCATTTATAGTCACGAGGAATATTGGTCTATAGTTTTCTTTTTTTGTACTATCTTTGTCTGGTTTAGGTACCAGAGTGGCTTCATAAATAAATTAGGAAATATTCCCCTCTCTTTTATTATATAAAAAGAATTATACACATGACCAAGTGGGGTTTATTCCAGGAATGCAAGACTGGTTCAATATGTAAAAATCAATCCATATAATCCAATATATTAATAGACTAAAGAAGAAAAATCACATCTTCATATCAATTGATACAGAAAAAGCACTTGACAGAATTCAACACTCATTCATAATAAGAACTTTCAGAAGAAATAGGAATAGGAGGCAACCTTCTCAACTTGGTTAAAAAAAAAAAAAGTCTGCAAAATAACTACAGCTGACATCATACTTAATGGTGAGAGACAATGTTTTCTCCCTAAAACTGAGAACAAGGCAAGGATATTGCAGTCTCACTACTGCTGTTCAATATAGTACCAGCAATCAAGCCAGCACAATAAGGAAAGAAAAGGAAATAAAAAGCATACAGATCAGAAAGGAAAAAAATAAGACTCTCCCTATTTACAGATGACATGATTATCTACATAGAAAATCCCGAAGAATCTCAAAACAATCTCCTAGAACTAATAAGTATGTTCAGTAAAGTCACAGGACACAAGATCAACATATCAAAATCAGTTATATTTCTACATACTAGCAATGAATACCTGGATACTGAAATTAGAAGTACAATACCATTAGTAGTTGCTTAAAAAAAAAAAAGAAATACTTCAGGGTAAAACTAGCATATTGCTATGACTTGGGAGCCATGTACTGGACTTGTGTGCTAAAAACTACAAAACATTGATGAGATAAATCAAAGAAGATCTAAATAGAGATACTGTGTTCATGGATTGGAAGACTCAACATAATAAAGGTATCATTTTTCCCCACGTTGATCTACAAGCTTAATGCAGTTTTTCTCAAAATCCCAACAAGATGTTTTCTAGAAATAGACAAGATGATTCTAAAATTTGTATAGAATGGAAAATGAACTAAAATAGCTTAAACAATTGAAAAAAAAAGTGGGAGGACTCATTCTATCCAATTTCAAGACTTACTCTGTAGCTATAGTAATCAACACTGTGTGGTACATGGAATGGAATAGAGAATCCAGAAATCGCCCCATACAGGCATCACCAACTGATTTCTTACAAAGGTGCAAAAGCAGTACAATGGAGGAAAGATAGTCTTTTCAACAAATGGTGCTGCAACAGTTGGATATCAATAGGCAAAAGTATGAACTTTGACCTAAACCTCATACCTTATACAAAAAAATTAACTCAAAATGATTCATAGATTTCAATGTAAACCTGTAATGCTGTTGGGGGGGGTGGTGGAAACTAAAAACATGATCATAAAAGGAAAAATTGCTAAATTGGACTTCATCAAAATTTAAAACCTTTGCTCTATAAAAGTCCCTATGAAGATGATGAAAAGACAAACTACAGACTGGGAGAAATGTTTTACAAACTACATATCTGACAAAGGACTCATATCTAGAATATATAAACAACTCTCAAAACAGTAAAAAACAATCCAGTAGAACATGGGCAGAAAACATGAAGAAATATTTTACCGAAGGTATGTAAATAATAAGCACATGAGATGTTCAATACTACTATCCACCAGAGAAATGCAAATTAAAATCACAATGGGATACCACTACACACCTATCAGAATGACTAAAATAAATACTAGTGTCGACACCAAATGCTGGCGAGGATACAGAGAAACTGGTTCACTCATGCATACCTGGAGGAATATAAAACGGTACAGCCATTCTGGAAAACAGTTTGGTAGTTTCCTAAAAATCTAAGCATACATTTATCATATGACCAAGTACTTGCATTCAAGGGCATTTTTCATAGAGAAATAAAAACTTATGTTCATATAAAAATCTGCACACGATTGTTCATAGAAGCTTTATTTGTAATAGAAAAAAACTGGAAACTACCAAAATGTCCTATAGTAGGTGAGTGGCTAACTGTGGTACGTCTGTGTGATGGAATTCTACTCAGCACCAAAAAGGAACAAACTATTGATACATGCAACAACCTGGTTGAAATTCAAAGGCATTATGCTGAGTGAAAAAAATTGCAAAAGGTCACATACTGTGTGATTCCATTTGCATAACATTTTCAAAATGACAAAACAATAGAGATGGGAACAAATTAGTGGTTGCCAATGGTTAAGTGTTGTAGGGGGCAGTGAGGTGTACATGACTATAAAGGGAGATCTTTGTGGTGATAGAATAGAGAATGCAGAAATATCTTGGTTACATGAATCTACACATGTGATAAAATCACACAGAACTATAGATTCTCATTGTACCAATGTCAGTTTCCTGGTTTTGATATTGTACAGGTAGTCCCTGACTTACGATGTATTCGAATTCCGACGAACCGCACTCGCAACCATCCAGTTCTGGAGTTTCTTTTTGTACATCTTATCGTTAGTAATATGTACTACATACAGTGTTGCAGCATGAAATTTGCTAATGTTATCATTCTCATATGTTCAGTCACAGATGTCTATATGTGATGTTTCCAACCCCCAAGGACAAATAGAGGTCAGATTTATAAAGATACTGATAATAGAAGGCAATAATAATGAAAACTAAAAAAATGAGGTATTCGACTTACGTCAGAACTGATTTACAATGGAGTCATCAGAATGGAACCAATCATAAATTAGGGACTACCTGTACATTATGTAAGAGGTAACCATTTGGGGAAACTGGGTGAAGGGTGCAGGGGATCTCTCTGTACTATCTTTGCAACTTCTTGTGAATCTATAATTATGCCAAAATAAAAAATTTTAAAAAACAAGGTGGCAGATTTGACTTTTGGGCTATAGTTTGCTGACACCCACTATAGAGCAAAAATTAGATAAATCACATATTACCTTACTGTGTTATGAGGTGTCCATATTGCTATGACTTGGAAGCCATGAAGATCTCTATAGCAATTGATGCATATGTTTCAAGAACTTTGACTAAGCAAAGATACTGAAACTACCAACATTCATTCATGACAATAATGTCAAATATATGCCTTTAATATGAGTACTTTTACCAATATATAGATACGTAGATAGACGTGCTCATAAATAGATGTGTATAAATATACATAGATATATAGATAGATGTGCTCATCCAACCATTCCTAGAGCTAGATAATGGAATACTCATTTGGGATAATGTAAAGAACAAAAATTAAATTATAGGCCCAATCTTTATAGACGTTATAGAAAGCTTAACCCAAAGCCTTCTGTAGATTCTCCTCTCTATTTTCCTGGCCCATAATCCTACATTACCCTTTCATGGGCATTTTCTGTTAATTTACAAATGTACCACACATCTTTTGATCTTGGACCACTCCTGACAAGTTTTTTTATGTAGACTGTTTTCCCAAAGGACAAATTTCTAAAATCAAGAACAAATCAGCCTACGCATTTGAAACCAACCCTAAGAGGTATGTCTTGCTCAGAGCCCTTACTAAATGTAGAAGTCAAAAAATTGTCATAGAAGCATTAGAACTTCTTTTAATTTAGTCACTACTACTATGTCATGACTCACAATAGGCTCACACAATAGGCTGCTTGTGGCTGGAACATTGCTGAGACAACAGAAATGCCTAATGTGGTGCTGGGACAACAGAAACTTAAAGAAATTGACCAGCATATCCCTTTTGTATGCATGAAGGTTTTTTGATGCCGTGGAGAATATGCAAAACCTCGAGCTTCCCAAATGCATTTACTTTCTTCTGTGAAACTAATTCACTGTAACTTTGGTACCAAAGCCTTTGGCAGGAGTACACACAGAAACGTTTGTCAAGATGTCAAGACCCAGGTGCTTTGGAGGGCCCTCCCAGATTTCTTGCTGAGTGGTTTTAAAGTCCCTTGTTCACATTTCAGAGATTAAGCCCATCCTCCAGAACTTTGCTGGTAGTAATAAGGAGATTAGAAACAGTAAGAAACAATGACCAGGTGAAAAAACAAGCTAATTTCCAAATCTTGTGCATTACCATAGAGCATCATTCCCTTTACTCACTGCCTTGTTTTCTCTAATACTCTTGATAAGGGAGAAAGGAGTTACCACATTCCTCTCTGGCTGACTCCCTCATGCACTGCCCAGACCTGGTCATATGGTCGGGCAGATAGGCAATAGAAAACTGGCCTATTAAACGGATGCCCATATGGGGTACAGCCTCAGGGAGCACTATGGGAATTTAAGCAGTGCATAAAAGTAGGACATGTTGATGCCCATCAGAAGAACCCCCTTCCAGGATCTGAAGGTAATTGAAATCAGGAAGTGTATATCCTGGTGTACTCTATTGAAGTGGCCACCTGGGTCCATGAAAAGAGTGGACATGGGAGTACTGAGTACTGTGGCAACGCAGACATGGGCTGAATCCAGATGTATGCCTCTTACACCCTCTGAGGCATAAATGCCAATAAGAACTGTCCTGTCTGCCAACAAGAGAGACGGAGACTGTAGATGGCTACGGGACAGAGTCCCCAGGGGTGGGGATAGGGCTCTGAACGTAGCTGGCAAATCAGACTGGTGCCAGTATCCCCGAGAGGCTACAAATGGATTCTGACAGGAATAGACACTCTGGGCTGAGTTTTGCTTACTCAATGGTAGCTGCAAATGCTCAGAATACAAATAAAGCACTAGAGCGGAAGATCTTGCACTGCTGAGCCATATTTCCTCAGACCAAGGAACACACTTTATAGCCCATAATGTCCGTCAATGGACAACGAGATAGCCTCGGAGTAACAGTTTACAGAGAACTGGGACAGCAATTGAAAACTTGTTCTCTAAAACGGCCCAGCACTTTGAATTAGAAATAGGTGAGGCAGGGATATGGACGTAAGTTCATTTGGCTGTAGTTGAAAGTGTGAGCTCTTAAATCCGAGTGTAATTTTTTCTCATCAAGCATTGAGTTAGTAGCAAGGTGTGAGACTTTAGGAAGAATAATAGAAAGATCCTCAGCGACTTGACCTTCAGAATATATGACCTTCAGGAACTTAAATCAAATCAGTGGTATAAGATATGTATAAATAAACAATGCGAAGTGTTATAGGACTTCAAAAAAACTCAAAAAACCAGTTACTCTCAAGTTGATTCCAACTCATGGTGACCCCATGTGTTGCAGAGTAGAACTGTGATCACCAGGCCTGTCTTCTGAGGTGCCTCTGAGTAGGTTCCAATCATCAACCTTTCAGTTAGCAGTTGAGCCTTTAACTGTTCATACCACCCAGGGACTCCATGGGACTTCAAAGGAGGCCCGTTGTCCCAGACAATCAGAGGAGGCAGCGTCTGAGTTAAGCAGGGAGATACAGGTAGGATGGTGATTGACAACAGCAGCTAACGCTGCTCTGTGCTGAGCCGTTTATGTACATTAACTCAGTGAATCTTCTCAACCCTACCAGGTAGGCACTATTATTTTCTTCAGTCTGGCTCTGGAATCTAAGAGAAAGGCAGAATTCTTTGGTTTATCTTACTCTTTAGAGGAAAAAAATATCAGATGCCAAAATAGTCCACAGAATGTCTAAATCAAGAGAAGAGAAAGGAGTAAATGTAGCTTTCTGTGATCAATTTTATTCATGTAGAAAGATGTTGTTTACAGCTTTAAATAGTGCCTAAAAGAGAAAACAAAACAAAACAAAACAAAAAACTAACTTCAACAAAGTCATGGGGATCTTTCAGAAGTGAATTATGATACTCATCTTCTGAATTTATAAAAGTCAGAAATGGCTCCCAGAAACTTTTACTATGTAACAAGGAACTGAAAATATAACCGCTACAGCTACCATCTACTGAACCCTTGGCTTCATTTAACCAAAACAAACAAATAAACAAAGAAAGTATGCTTAAATATTCTTTTAAATAAAAGGACTTATGAAGTGTCACCTTCTGCATGCCTGAGCCTGGCGACACTCTTTCCCTCTCTTCCACTCAAGCAAGCTTTGGCCGCGTGACTAGCGTGCCAGTCCAATCAGTTGCAAAATAAAAAGGAAAAGGTTGATGATGTCCAAGTAGATATTCAGAGCAGCAAAAACATACTCTTCAGGATCCAGGTCAGAATGATGATGGCGCCCACCCACCATCATCTGCACGTCCATCAGCAGGTACTTGAAGAAAGGAAAGAAGCGTTAGCTCTTGAAGTGTACATTTCTATCAAATAAGTGTCCTAAGTAATCTAGAAAAAATATTTTAGCATTAAGAAAAAAAATCTCAGAAAGTCATTTCATGGATGTATACATACATTATCCTTAGAGCCCCAATCATTCACGTCTTCCCTGAGTTTGACTGTTTGTTAAAGCCTCGCCCTCCTGAAGGCTGTAAGCCTTCCTGCGCTTTCCAAACCCAACACCTTTAGCGAGTGACATGGACTCAGGCGGGCAAACTGGACACGAAGACAAACCATGAAATGGCCCATGTTCATGATTTTCCCCTCACGTTTTCACTGAACAAAGAATGAAAGTAAATTTGGTTCCCAAACATTCAGATTCACATAGAACAATAATTGTGGATTCTTGGAGATTTGGGGGATAGCATTTTTCAAACCTTGACATGTAGGGATGGCTTTATGATGTACAAAATGGAAGGAAAAGGAGAAGGGATTCGCATTTGGTTAAATAACCCTTAAAATAAACTTTTTCACTCAGCTGCAGTAGGTTGAATTATGAGCTCCCAAAACATCAAGATAAAAAAGCCGGAAGAGCACGCCCATGCTTTGTTCGTGCACAATGAGTGGCCAGGTGCTGGCGCCTTACTTCTTTACATGCAGACGCTGAGAGGACTATTCTCCGTGCTGTGAGGCAGAGTCCAGTCAGAAAGAGCAACACTGGCATTTAAGAGAATTCTTGGGGTTTTAAAGATTCTTGAAAATAATTCATTTTAGACTAACATCCGTTGTCATGAAACCTATCCCAAGGAATTCAGGTTTTGCAGAAAGGCTAGAGACAGAGCATAACCATAAATGGACCTGTCTGAAGTTTGTGCTCAACAGACCAGACTAGAATACCAAGCTGATATATCTATTTGGGCAGGGTGGGGGGAGGTACTTTACCTTATTGGAGCCCTGGTGGAGCCGTGGTTAAGTGTTTGGCTGCTAACCAAAAGGTCAGCAGTTCAAATCTACCAGCCGCTCTTTGGAAACCCTATGGGGCAGTTCTACTCTGTCCTGCAGGGTCGCTATGAGTCAGAATTGACTCGACAGCAATGGTTTTTAACTTAATGGCCTGGAACAGATTTTTTTGCTTTGATTCCACAAAAATTGAGCACGGACTGTGTGCCAGGCAATAAGCTAATGTGCAGGACTGCGGGCACAAACTCACAGCGACGAGTCAAACAGCAGAAGCACTAACAACATACAGGGTTGCCCTGGGGAGGTTGCCCTGGGGAGGGTGACTGCGGGGTACGGGAGAATGGAAGGAGGACATGGGGGCCGTGTTCCATGTCTGCCAAGGACAGAGGCATGAAGCAGCACGGTGTGTTCAGAACGTAATACACTGAGGCTGAGTGGGGAGGTGGGGAGGCAGAACCAGATGGCAAAATGCCAGATGGTGCTAAGGAATTTGGATGTTGTTGTTGTGTACTGTCAAGTCAATCTTCAATTCATAGTGACCCCATAGGACAGAGCAGAACTGCCCCATAGTGTTTTCTTGGCTATCATCTTTGCAGGAGGAGATTGCCAGGTCTCTCTCTTGCGGAGCCACTGGGTGGGTTCGAACTGTCAACATTTCTGTTAACAGCCAAGTACTTAAACCATTGCACCACCTCCCTAAATGTGTCACTCTCAGGAAAGTGCTCTCAGAAACAGCACCTCGGGGCCCACCCAAGGGAGGAGGTCTGCTCCTGGCTGGAGTCATCAGTTGCTTTCACACAGGCTACAAATCCCACGTGACTTATAGCCAGTAGAGCAGAAGATTCTCCAGTCTGATGCTCTAGTCTCCTCGCCTCGCTCAGCTCCATCAGACCTAAGTAACTTTCAGAGCCCTACTCTCCTCCCTTTAGCACATGTAGTTCCTTGCAGTTTTGGAAGGGGCATTGCATCAGTAAGTAATGGGGAAAAGCAGCTAGACCTATGTCCGGAGGAGAAGGGATTGGAGAAGTGATTATTCATTCAACCCGGAAACCAAACTCGTTGCCATCGAGTCGAGTACGACTCATAGCAACCCTACAGGACAGAGTAGAACTGCCCCATAGGGTTTCCAGGGAGCAGCTGGTGGATTCCAGCTGTCAGCCTTTTGATTAGCAGCCGTAGCTCTTCACCACTGCACCACCAGGCCTCTGACTATTCACTAGAAAAAGTCAATTTACTGAAGACAAGAAGTTGAAAAGAGACAGTTCAACCAACTCCCTCCCTCCCATTCATGTGTTCATCCCATACGCTTTGAGCACCTCCTGTGTGCTGGGTACTGTGATAGACACCGGGGATACAATGGTGAACAAAAAAAAGTATTTTATAGTTTACATTCTAGAGGGGACAGGCAAACAATATGCATATAAAAATTGCCAAGTGATAGTAGATGCTATAAAGAAAAATAAAAGCTGGGCAATGAGTTATTTGGTTCCCCCAAATTGTTCAAGGTATATACATTTGCCAGATATGTTCAAGTTCTAACTGCTCTCCCCACCAACCTGTGAATGTGGCCTTATCTGGAACTAGCATCTTTGTAATTTGTTACCTGTAGTTAGTTCCCATGAGGTCCTACTGGAGTACGGTGGGCCCTAATCCAATATGACTGGCGTCCTTATAAGCAGAGGAGAAGAGACACAGAGGGAAGATTGCCATGGGATGGAGCCAGAGATTGGAGGGGTGCATTGTGTATTAACCAAGGATTGCAAGAAATCACCAGAGGCTAAGAGAGAGGCTTGAAACAGATTCTCCCGCAGAGCCCTCTAGAAGGAATCAACCTTACCAACACCTTGATTTCAGACTCCTAGCCTCCAGAACAGTAAGAGAATAAATGTCTGTGGTTTTATGCTACCGAGTTGGTGGTACCTTGTTGCGGAAGCCCTAGGAAACTAACATGAAAGGCAACAGGGGTTGCTGGAGGGAGGTCTGGAAAGGCCCCTCTGATGGCAGCTGAGCAGAAAGGAAGCAAGCCAGGAGCTACTCACGCATCCATTTATCTCAGGGCAGATCATCTGAGGCAAAGCACAAGTGCAAAGGTCCT